CGATCGGTTCAGTTTTTTGATTTTTTTCTCACCCCTACATCCCATGCCAAGGGGATGTGACTGTGGCCTATGCAAACATAGGCTATCCGCATCCGTTGTTCGCGCCCCGTGTGGGCGTTGATATCACCCATTGTATGACTATAAGCAAGACGGGTGTCGGGGTCGGCTGAATGAAGCCATGCACAAGACAGTACAGGAGGGCCCAGTTCGGCATATCCTTGAGTCGGAGTTGACGGGCGAACCGGTCCCGTCTCTTGGTGTTGTTTCATCTCCCAAGGTCAATGCCACGTGGAGCCTATCGATTCGGGTTGGCGGGTCCACAGCCGTTGGATCAATTGGATTTGAGCCATACAATTTTCTTTAAATAGGGAGTCTAGTTGAGCGATTCTTCACTATTTGCTCAAAATCTTCTGCCTTAGAGCTACTAAGGACACCTTGGCTATCAATAACCAATCTCTTAAACCCTCTTTAACTAACATCTTTAGGTAAAAAGTTACTATCCCCAACATGTCGGCCTCAAATTCTGGTTGTGAGGCTTATAACCTTCCTAACTGGAGTACTCCTAGCAGCACTCTAGTAGTGATGGAAGTGATAGTAGTGACTCCAAGAGCTCCTCTCGGATGTCTAGCGTCCAAGTGTTGAGGAAGAAGGTCGTGTCTCGCGGGGCCAAGTGTGCCCAACAGAGTGCGGACTTTGCCAATGAGAGTACCGGTTCCACAAGGCCGAGGGCCGATACCCCAGGGAATGTTCTTAGACTCCTTGATGTGGTAGATGTGGAAGAGGTTGAGGAGCAAGTCGAGGCAAAGCACCAAGGTGTGACGCTGGGGAGTTATCCTCGCTCTGGCCTGGATAGCACTCTTGGCAAGGGGTAAGTTAGCGCATTGGTCGAGAAGTACTACATTCTGAGGGACTATAACCCTAGAGTCCCTTATGTGGGTGATAGGTCGTGGCTTGCTCCTGGGGAGGTGTGCGTCCACAAGCATTACCTTCACTTCGAGTTGCAATTTCCCTTGCACCCCCTCATTCTCGAGATCTTGAACCATTATAACCTCACCCTTAGCCAGCTCTCTCCCAACATCGTTAGGATGATAGTGGTCGTATTGGTGATGGCCCATCTCTGGAAGGTGTTAGTGATGCTGAACATATTTTGGAGTTTGTTCGCACTAAGGAAGCATCTTGACGGGGAAGGCTTGTGGTGCTTCCAAGGCCGACGGGGAAGGGTGGTGGACAACCTGTTGTCTGCCCATAACTGGAAGAAGAAATTCTTCTTTGTTAGTTGCCCCCAAGGTTAGTCCTTTTGATCCGATTAGGGGAACCCATATACATTAGCCAAGACTAGCTAGCCCTAAGACTCTTCAGAACCATGTCATCAACGTAGGCCTCGACGTTCCTCCCCATCTGTTCTTTGAAAATCTTGTTCACCAGTCTTTGGTAAGTGGCCTCGGTGTTATTCAGTCCAAAAGGCATCGCCTTGTAGCAATAGGTGTCGTGTCGTGCTTGATGATGAACGAGGTCTTTTCCTCATCAGCCAGATGCATCTTTATTTGGTTGTAGCCGAAGAAAGTGTCCATAAAGCTTAGTAGCTCGTACCTTGTGGTGGCATCGACGAAGTGATTAATCATCGACAAAGGAAAGCTATCTTTGGGGCAGGTCTTGTTGAGATCTATGAAATCAATGCATATGCACCATTTCCCATTAGCTTTCTTAACAATGACCATGTTAGATAGCCATTGAGTAGTGTACCTCTCTTATGAAGCTGATGCTGAGTAGCTTGTCCACCTCCTATTTGATGGCTTTCCAGCGCTCCAGTGCAAAGTTCCTCTTCTTTTGCTGAACTGGCCTACAACTTGGGTCCATGCTCAGCCTGTGAGTAATGACCGAGGGGTCAGTTCCTGGCATATCAGCGGTGGACCAAGAAAACGCGTTGGTATTGGCTTTAAGGAAGCTTACCAGTTTGGAAAGTATGTCTTGATGGAGGCAAGACCCGACTCATACCATTTTCTTGGGCTCGGCCTCGTCTAGGGGAACCGTGATGAGGTCCTCGGTTGGATGACCTTGATTGGACGGTTTGTCCCTAAGGTCGAGCCCCTCTAGTGGTAGGGTTTCATTGTTCTTGCCTTTTAGCGTTGCAACGTAGCACTGTCTACCAACTTGTTGGTTTCCCCTAACCATCCCTACACCATGCTCTGTGGGAAACTTCATGGCGAGGTGATAAGACAAGATGATCACCTTGAGTGCATAAAGGGTCGGCCTCCCTATGATGGCATTGTAAGGTGAGTCTATCTTCACAACCAAGAAATCAGTCATCCGAGTGACGTGTCGAGGTTTAGTCCCTATGGTGATTGGTAGGGTTATTTTTCCTTTGGGTTTGACAACTGCTCCAGAGAAGCCAATGAGTGGCATGTTAATAGGTTGTAGTCAGTCCAATGTCAGTTGCATCTTCTCAAACATCTCATAGAACAGGATGTCGGATTTGGAGCCGTTGTCTATGAGGATCATTTTCACCATGTAATTGGTGATGGTCATTGACACCACCAACGCGTCGTCGTGGGGCATAGATACCCCCGTAGGTCGCTGTCTGATAAGGAAATGAGGTCTTCCGACCTCGGCCTCTTCAGTGCTTGGCTCTGAATGTTGTATTGTCGGGTGTATGATTTCCGAGACAAGGCGGATACTCCCCTTGAGGCCAAGCCTCCGGCTATGACTTCCATGACTCCGGCCAGGGGGCGATGATTGTGGGGCTTGGCCTATAGCTGCTGAGAAGATGACACTAGGGCATCACCTTCCACAAAATCCTTTAAGTGCCCACGACGGATGAGGGACTCAATTTCGTTCTTGCCACGGTGGTACTTGCAGTACTTCTTGGGGTTCCCCCTTATCGGGATCCTCTTCAACTTAGCCGGCCACTTCATGAACTCTTCCTTCTCTACTTGCATCATTATGTGTGTTCAGGAGAAATTTAGCAACGTGTACTTATTGAAGGAAGGGCCCAACGACTTCTTCTCTCCACCTTTGTTGGTAGGACTGTCGTCGCGGCCATCCCTTTCCTTCCTCTTCTTGTCACTGGGCCCTCAGTTGGTCTCGACTTCCGGTTCTTGGAGGCGTTTATTGGCTTCGGCCTCTTTGGCAGCGATGTACTTCTAAACCTTCTTCAAGAACTCAGCTTTAGTCTTGTGCGGTGTCTTGGAAATGGACCAGATAAGGGGTCCAAGCCGAAGCCCACTAATGGTTGTGTTCATGGAGACCGAGGGGTCGAGGTCCTTGACCTCGAGCTCTTCCTGATTGAACCTCTTCATATATGCCCGAAGGCTCTCCCCGCACTTTTGCTTAACGAACATCAAGTAGGTGATGGTTTTCTGACACTGTCAACTGCTCATAAAGTGACCTAGGAAAAGGTCCACGAATTGTTCCCAAGAGCCGATGGAGTGTGGAGAACCATCGGTACACTGCTCCTTTGAATTTGGCTTGGAAGGCCCGGCACATGAGGGCAGTAGAGTATCCGTGTAGGAGTATGAGGACCTAGAAGCTTTCTAGGTGGTCCTTGAGGTCTATACTCCCATAGTAGGTCTCCAACACTAGGGCCTTGAAATTTGGCGGGAGGGGCTCGAAGAGGATGGAATCTACGAAAGCCTCCATTCAGTTGGATAAGGTAGGGCAACTAGTGGAGGCATCACCTTGACCCTCCTTTACCTACGGAAGTTGGTCCTTCATGGCACCAATCTGCACCTGTATATCTCCGAGGCAATAGTCGATGTATGGCATCGTTGCTTCGGCCTGGTCCTGGTTCTCTCTTATGTGGGACGGGTGAACCCATTCCCAGAGTGCTCGGACGCCGACATGATGATCATTGAGGAGGTCGCGAAGGTCAGAAAACTTGTGGGGGAGAGGCGTGGTGTTGGACTCTCACCCTTGGAGGGGGACTATAGTGGCTCGAGCGCCCGTTGTTGTCCCAATTGGTTGCCGTGCGGTGATGTTGACGGTCAAGATTCTTGTGCTCGGCGTGGAACCCCACGGGGTCGACCCCTCGGCGGGGGAGCCGAGGGGTCAGCTCTCTTTGGACTGCCCAAGCGTTGGCTTAGCGGGATACAGGCGGATCGCCTGTTGTGTTGTCCATGGCTTTCAACGGGGCGGCCACCCTGTGGGTGGCTTCTTGTTGGATGCCCTATATCGTCCAACCGCTGGGCCAAGTTGTCTAGCCTATTCAAGACCAGCTCTAATTGGTCAATTGTGACTAAGTTCTAGACGTCAGGGAAAAGGTTTTACTTGTTAGCCATTTCAGGGACACTAGTTGATTAAATTAGGTTTGTTTTTTCTTAAGGAAAAGTTTTGAAGATATTCCATGGCACTAATTATTGCTGCCAAATATGGAATCGAGGGCAACAATATAATTTCTAACACCCAACGCCCCAAAAGTTATCTCAAGGGTGAAAACTCTGATAGTCAAATTAATAGAGGACTATGAGGGTCCGACCAAGCAAAAGAGGAGACTTATAACTCAAGTTCCAAAATGTGTTTATTTCAATGTGGAATGTGGAAGCCCTTTTTTTATAATCAGAATTGCCTTAGATGAAAGAACAGGTGGGAGTGGTTGCAAGTGATTGGTGATGAACGACCTAGATACATCAGATCGACGCCGCATTTCAAGATCTCCGGGTTGGCCAGATATTCCTACATCACAAATAACTGTTAGTTTCAGAAATTGGGTATTGGAATGGCATATTTCAAATTTCAAATAGACGACAGGTTAATAATTTGCAATTACCCCCAAATAATATTTCATTAGGCTCTCAGGAGTGAGGCACACTGATCAAATACACCTCATGCTCTCGGCACAGAGAGAGAAGCTGAGTTAGCAACCTTCGTTTACGATCTGTGGATCACCACCAGCCCACCAGCTTTGCTTTCTCCTTTTCAAGGCACCTCTTGCCCTACACGTGACATGTGATGGGAGTGATTTTAGGACTTAGGAAGGGAGGAGTGGTATGCACGTCTGGTGGGTGGACTTGTTGGAATAGATCCATAGATTATTTAATGTTTCGTTATCTGTAAAATTACACAAATACTCATACTCTTTCAGTGCTTAAATCGTTCGAAGAAGGACAACTAATGGGAAAAACAACTTACGAGCAGAGCGCTCTCGCCTCTCGTCAATCATGGAGTCGCTCTCGCTGATGCCAACTACGATACAACGGCGGGCCAACCGACCATTTTACTTTGTTTAGTGGAGACAGGAGGAGACCGGTCACTACTCACTAGAGATGTGAACTGAGAAGAGTTAATGAAGCAGGCAGCAAGGGAGGGTATGAGTAGAGAGTAGTAATTGGGTAATAGAAAGTAGAGGGGCTTTTAGTGTGGTGTGGTTGGTCGGTCGGTCGGTCGCTGTGATAGTAGATAAGCATAAGCTAGTAGTACCCACATTCGACAGCCGGGACTCAGGAGCCAGCTCCACACTTCTGCATATCGGCCCATGATCACCGCCACCACAGTTGAAAAAAAAAAAGCGAGGGGGATTGAGGCCTGAGGGGGGCCTTTTCAGGGTTCGTGCCCGCAAAAAGAGGAACTGACTGTCAGCAGTTCCATTGTCATCATGTTTTCTTCCTTTTTGACGCCTCTCCCTAGTCTCTTCCTCCCTTTCATTTGATCATCTTCTTTTTAAAAAATAAACCCACCCCTCCCAAAAAAAAATGGCTCAGGAGGAAAAAGAGAAAACTGCAATCATCATTCAAGCTTCCTCCCACCATCACCATTACCACGACATCGGCAATTTTCAGGTACCACTTGCTGTACCTGGTGATCTGGTTTCATCACTCTCAATTCCTCAATTTAGAAGCATTTCTTCTTCTTCTTCTTACATGGTGGAGTTGCAGGAAAAAGACGAAGAAATTGACCTCTCATTATCCTGCGAATCTGGAGTTTCGTCTCTGCACGACATTTCTTCTCGTGTGAGTCCCTCATCGTCAATCTTTTCAGATCTGTAAACTCTGTTTTTTGTTTTTTTTTTTTTCAAATTAAATTATTTTAAGCAACTTAGGTTGGAGTCGGTATTGTGTATGGATGATTCAGGTGCTATATTTGTTGGGAGATGTAACGGCGGCGCCAGCTTATCGGTTCACCCAATGGCTGGAATCGGTTCGTAGGCGCTGTGGGAGATATCGCTCTTCGGGATTTCCCAACCGTCCTTCTGGACTCCAAACTATGCCATTGAGGTTTGACCCACACTCAATTTATGTCTTCAATCCATTACGTTGTCTTGCCTGCAACTGTCAACCCGTAGATTTCTGGATCGGTGGTTCCTTATACGATGCTGACACAAATAAGCCAAGTAACTGTTTTATGTAATTGAGAAGTTGCGTATCGCTAAACTATACAATTCATCAAGTTTAGCTATCTTGCAAAAAAGAAAAGATTTCTTGAGTGGGATCTTTTTATTTCGCTTTAGCTGTATTTGAAAGAGATTTACATAATTGTAACAGGGGAAAATAAGCACTGAGGTTGAATAATGATTTTGTTATAGGACTTTATGGAATTTATCTGCTCTTGCTCCTTCCCGTGTGTCACTCCCATGGTTTCATGATAATGATGAATAGGTAATAGCAATTTCATGGTTTCTGTAGATTACATAAACTGCATCTCTTGAGGGTGGGCCTTGGCCTAATGTTTGGGTTGCTCCATTGCAACCTCGGTGACCAGGGTTCAAATCTTGGAAACAGCCTCTCTGTGTGTCTGCAGGGGTAAGGGCCGCAAAGCTGTGTACAATGTCCTTCCCCAGACCCCGCATTGGCAAGAGCCTTGTGCACTGGGCTTCCCTTTTACATAAACTGCATCTCTTATTAGTCTTGTCTCTGTCCAGGGTTATCTGTATCCACAACACCTATTTTCTTTTGTGCTGTTGAGTTTTTGATTGAGTTATTGATATGTGCCTGGGAGAACATTTTTTTTTTTTTTTTGTATGAAGATTGTTCTTGTTGTTATATAGATGTCACCAAGGTTGTACATTTTCAGTGTAGGAGCACCCATTGCTGAGTCAAAAAGTTCATTGCACATTGATCAAACTCCAGAGATTAGTTTGTGGGAAAGGCTTGGCAAAGCTGCTGTTTTGGATATTGAATCAAGTGAATTTTCGTGGAACATGCTTTCTTCACTACACCATACAGAACACAACAGTAGCACTGAACATTCTGAAGATGAAATGAGTAAAGCGCTTGAGGTATGCATTCTTTGTTTATTCTGAATTTTAATAGGGAATTGGATATCTTGGTTATGCCTGTTGTTGGAGAACTTCCTATTCAGGCGCATGTGTGTTCAGATGGAAGAAATGTATATATTGTTCTCATCAGTTGAGTGGTTGTGAGTAGATAGTGATATTGCTGAATTTGTAAACATATGCTGTTGGTGAATTCTTGTTGACTTTTAAGCCAAGTGGTAAAAGATGGTGGTGGTAATTGGATCAACTTGTGGTTGGATCAGATCATGTGAACAATATGAAAGCATGATTTCTTGCATGAGAATGTAAGCATGAATTGTAGTAATGTTGGAAGGGTAAGATTCCCAACAGGTATGTTGTCAAGAAAGGTAGGATCCATTTAAAAAATCTGTTGGAAGAGGTATTTAAGGCATTGTTTTAAAAATTGATCCGGAGGCTGAACCATTTTCTCCCTCTGGGTTGTGGGTCACCAGTTCAACAATTATAGATATTATTCAGTGTTTCTACTGTAGCTACAGTAGTCTGAACCAGTAAGGAGAAGAAGAAAGAGAAGGAGAAGAAGAAGAAGAAGAAGATGAAAGAACTGTCGAACCTGATAGCTAAACCCTATCAGTCGGCCTCTTAATAGTGATTAGGCTTCTAATTAAATGTACAAGGACTAAACTGCCCCTACTTAAGTATGGGACAGAGAACCTCTAATAAGACTGCCACATAAGCTCATAACTTAACCAAGGTGAGTTGACTAATCTACCCTTATTCGGCTAACTCTAACATTCAGAATATGTAATTATATTCTGCATATAACATATATATTTTTTGTTTCAGGTTTTTTTATACTAAAAGTTAAGATTTGAGGCCAAAAAAGCTTTTTTTTTTTTTTTGGCAAAAATTGTGTGCCATGGTGCCTTCAGCACCTTGCAATGCATAGATCATGAAAAGTTAGCCAAAATAAAAAAAGATCACCCCAATGGACAACTGAGCCTGTGGAAGTTTTCTTGTAATTTGTATTTTGTAACTCAACCTACTGATCAGGTCAAGTGAGTCAACAGTTCAACTGCCTGGGTCAACGGGTCTCTGACCAAGTCAACAGTTTTAGACTAAATAGCAGGTTATGGAAAAAAAAACAAACCAGAAATGGGGTCAGGTGGCAGTTTGAATGATTCGACTGCTTAGGTCAATGGCAGGTTGAAAGCATTGATTTAAGGTTGCTAAATAATGGACATAAATGGTGCCTTTTCTTTTGGTTTCTTTCTTGTTGGGAGCTTTGGGAGAAGAATTCATGGATCTTGCTACAAAAGGTACCTCTAAAGTTTGCAGCTTATGGTGGGTGGAGCTACACAAGTGTATGGTGATTATAAATAAAATCAAGTAGTTGCTGTTTCTGTTAGACTGTTACAAGGATGAGTTATAGGATTGGCAAAATGTGCACATTTATAGATGGAAATAAGTGCTCCATTAAATTGGTTGGGCACCAGTAAATTGGTTGTTTTGATCCAACAGATCATGTATGGTCTTCTTAACTCTGAAGTAATTCTTGTCAATCATGTCTTTTCTGGTCATAGGTTCCCGGGTCTGAATGTTAGTTAGAGGTCCTCAGAACAGTTGGTTGACACTTACAACTAATAGTGGTCTGGACACAGTTGCAGAAAGATTGTTGACTCAAAACATACCATTAAGATGGTAAGAATAAGAGTGGGGTTTTTTCTGTGGTGGAAAGAATGTTGAGGTGTCTTCTTCTTCGAGGGATGGATTGTGATGGAAAGAGTGTAAGAATGGGTTTTTTTCTGTGAAATCTTTCTACTCAGCTCTGTTAAAGGATCAGCAAGTTTTAAATTTTAAGGGAGGGATCTGGGGGAATCCCATTCCACCTAGAGTGGAAGCTTTTGCTTGGTTGGTTGTCCTGGATAGCATTCTAACAATTGATCATTTGAAAAGCAGAGGATTCTCTTTAGCAAACATCTGTGTCATGTGTTGCTTGGATGAAGAATCTGCCTTACACTTATTCTCTTCTTGCAGGACTGCAAAAGTCATGTGGAATTTCTACTCCTCTGTATTTGGGCAAAGAGTTATTCAGCCAAGCTCAGCAGCAGAAATTTTCTCTGCCTGGCCAAGATTAGGGAGAAGTAGGAAAGCAAGGATAGTATGGAGCTGCATTCCCTTTGCTGTGTGCTGGACATTGTGGATCAAAAGAAACAAGAGGATTTCTGACGACAAACTTAAGAACACAGAAATTCTGGTGGCTCTGGTGGGGAAGTTAGTTGCAGATTGGGTCTGGGTGTTACCATATTATGATCAAGTCAGTAGATCAGACTTCRGGGAAAATTTCCGGAATGTGCTTGAAATTCAATCGTTGTAAAATGTTTCAGTTTTGTTCTGGTCTGTGCCTTAGACCAGTTTGCTTTGTTTTGTAAGCTAGGTGCCATCTTGTCACCTATTGTCTGTATCTGTTTTTTATTTAATAAAATTTATTTTTACTCTTCAAAAAAAAAAAGATAGTAAGTCTTTGGCGTCCATAATCCAGAGTTCATTCTGATAATGGATACCCATTCCAGCCAAAAACAGCCACTCTTGCCGGAGTGGGAATAGAGTCTCTGTTTCAGGAGCCAAAAGGTCAGGGTTGATTTTGTAGCTCAGTCAGGTTTGCTCAATCAGTGAGAGTTTTGTGCAATTGTTTGCCCTCTTTATTGGCTCTTGGTGTCTCAGGACCACTCAATCTGGGTCAAATCGTTGTCCAGTTTACAAGGATTGAAGGCGGCACAAGTATTGGGTGCCTTCTAGTTTCAATGTTAAGGGAATTCTCCATCGGTAATTGGGTGGATGAGGAAAGAAATTCTATATGTTGGGTCTTTCCTTGCTGCATTAGGGAAGTGAGGTCATTAGCATGCACAATGAGTGTGAAGATCTGATTACTCTGGCAGATTGCCTTAATGGCTTTCTAGGGTATTTGATTGGAAGAAGTTTATATTCAGTGGTTTGCCGTGTAGACTTTCCATCTACTTCAGGAGGAAGATGTTTGTTATAACTTAAAAAAAAAGTCCAGGAATCAAATTCTTCAAGCACTGTCTTGGGTGCACTCTCTGATCACATCTCTCTCAGTAGTCGTGGTGTTTTTAAGGGGTTTGAAGTTGATGATACAAGTGTGGCAGAAGTCAGGTCCGGGATAGTTTTGAGTTCAGTTGTGGTGCCTGTTTCAAAGATGGTGTGGAGTGTGGTTGCAGTGCAAAATGGTCTACACAGCTGAAGTAAACTCTGGTTCTGTGACTCTGAAGTTTGGGTTAGGGAATTCTTTTGTTGAAGCTGAGGGTAAAGCTTTTGCTAAGTCGTTCTCTAAAGTGGTAGTTGGAAGGATTGGCTTTGAACTTGATCGTTGGAGGGCAGAGGCTAAGGCAGTTGAAGATGTTGCACCTTTGAAGAAGTCAAAAAACGCAAATAAGTCGCATCTTGTCCATGTAACAAAGGTTTTCTTGTGTCTTAAAGATGGTCTTGTTGGAGGGGGTCCTAGCAACAAGTATGGAAGATTATACAAAAGAAAAGGGGTAAAAGGTGTGGATAGGATTCAATTGGTTGATGGTAAGAAGGAGATTTTGGATAACTGACAATCTTTAAGGTGTGAGTGTAACAGAGGTATGGTCTCCAAGGTTCAAGCGAGTGAAGTGGCGGAGTCGGGGGAGAATAGGGTTGGTTTGGTTGGCAAGGAAAGAATAGAAGGCACAAGGGAGAAAGAAGAGGCAGTTGCTGTAAATCCTGACATTGAAAATTTGGAAGGGAAAAGAGTGGATTTGGAGTGTTGATAAGGAGGTTCAAATCATAAGATTTTGGGTCTGTCCCTTTTAGGTGGTGAGGAGTTTGCTAGAAAAGCTTTTATGGAGTGAGAGAACAAGAAAAGAAAGGTGAAAAACTTTACTAGTGATAACAGTAGCTGCAGTGATGAGTTATATGTGGAATGATTTAAGCTATGTGGCAGATTGGTGGGGGAGATTTTGGTTTTTTATCCGTAAAGAGAGTCAGAGGTTGTAGCATTTGGTTCTGTTGGATCCACATGGGTTTGTTTAGATGATTTGGGCATGTTGTTCAGATCCTTGCTGTATGGTGTGGGTGTAGGTGGTGTTTTTTTTATTATTTTGGGGGGGGGGGTTCTCTCAGGTAATATCTTATCACCATCCTCGTGTATTCTCTTTTTTTCAATGAACTTTTTTTTTGCTATAAAAAAAGAGGAAGATGTTTGTTGCATAGATGCTGGATCTCCTCCCAACAAAAAATCCTTCCAACGCGTTTCAACATGATCCATGTCTACACATCTCAAACACGTTCCATCAATGTGTTCGAAAACATGTTTGAGATGTTTTGGCATAGATCATGTTGGAAAGAGATCCGGACTCATAGATGCTTGGTCTCAGGTTAGTCGATTCTATACTTTTCTCCTTTACACGTTAATAAAGACCCAGATCACTGGGTACTGGTTTACCACCTCATTGTTCAGCACTATCATTGGTCTTTTTTTTTTTTTTTGGCTGAATTTGTGGAACTAGGTCTGATGAGCTCATAGGGCCATTACTTGGTGTAGTGGTAAAATCTTGGGCTGACAAGCATGAACACAGGCTCGAGTCTGAGAATGGCAAGTTTGTACCATAGAATTCTGTAGGTTAGGTCTGTATTCAGTCCACCCCTTCCAAGACCCCAGATGGCTGGGACCAACATTGGGTAAATGGCCTCTTTGTTCTGATGAGTGCATGTTTGTATTGGTATGAAAGGTTTTTTCTTTTTTTTTTTTTTTGGATCAGTATATTGGTGAGCAACAAAATCAGTTATATATTTCTATTAAATTTATAGCATATTTGGCTATGCAAGATCTGAGGTGTAAAGGGGCTTTTTGAATGGTGATAACTTTCTAGTTTTGTAATAGTCGCTTTGGAGAGGGCTGTTTTTGCCTTCTGTTATAGCCTTGTACATGTTCTCATGTTTTTGTTGAGATCTAATATGTGCACAGTTAAATACTAATATATAGTTAAATTTCTCGTCCCCTACTCTTCTCCCCCTCCCCCCTGGAAAAAAAGAGTTTCTTGAGAATGCAGACATTTGTGTAGCTGAATATGCTTTTGTATTCAAAGTTCAAACCCCTTTGAACCTCCCCAGACACAGAGAAAATAATTATCGTAACATTAGTTGTCATCATCATCATCCAAGCCTTATCTTACTATATGGGGTCGGATTTATGAATCCTATTTCACCGTTTCATTCTGTTTAATGCTATATCAATTGTAAAATTATGAGTTGTAATTATTAGTTGTCTTTTTTTTTGCTGAAACCATGCATAAAGGGGGTGCCATTTCTGAATTATTTTTCTGCTAACCTTGTGTTTTCATTGGGCGGATGCAGGTCACTGTCAATTCTGGGGGTGTCGTTTTCTTTGCCCTATTCAACAGGCCTGATAATGATGATTCCTTCACAAAGGAAGCAGCAGCAGTCATAAAGATAGCTTCTTCAAGGATGGCTACACAATCAGAGCGCCTAGGTTATGAATTTGCAAAATGGCTAGGAGTTCGAACTCCACAAGTTCTGTCATCTGCTTAAGCAGTTTTCAATACACAAGCATGTTAGAGCATGGATCTAACTCATTTCCAAAAATACATTGTTGGGATGTTGCAGGCTAGGGTCGTTCACAATTCAAGCCCAGAATGGCAGCAGATCAAGAATGCTGCAGAAAAAGCAAAAGATGTGGCAATTTCAGAGAATGATGAAATTGGTGAAATGACATGTTCAGAGTTGTTGGAAGCTCTTGAATTGAGCCGGTGCCTTCTTCTGATGAAGTACAAATAGAACCTTGACTATATATTAGAGAAGGTTTATTGATAATACAGAAATTAAAAAAGAAAAAGATTGTGTGCTTCCTTCTCACTTGCAACCCACTTAGTTGATATGCAGGAAGGTGGAGAAACCATTCAGTCAAATTGGTTATTAGTGTAATTTCTAGTTGAGATGGTTGCTGTCATATTATCAGACTGATTTCTGGGCAAATAGATCCTTTATGTGTATAAAATTAGTGAATGGTTCAGCTTCCTACATGGGCACTGCTTGGAAGAAAGCATGGGATTTTGATCCATCAAGATTGTTGAGATCATGAATTTAGGACACTTTGCGGTAGGAGATTTCCACAATGGTCCGGTCTTTTGCATGTAAACATTTGGATTAGACATGAGTCAAAAGAATATAACCTGGTGGAAGTTGGGATGAAAACATTTGATGGTGATATTTAAGTAACAATCATCATCTTTTTTTATCTAGAAATAGATGCCTTCTTCACTCCCCATATATTGCATTGTCTAGTGGAAGGGGAACAGACCAATTGGGAAAGGAAGCACCACATGATTGAAGCCTAAAAGACACCATAGACCACTACTTGGTAGTGTGTATATCAGAATTTTTGTTTTACAGACAATAACTTTGGTTATTTTTTGCAGTTACATTCATGGATCTCCCTTGCTTGAAAGCTCAAATGCATTTGATTCACAGGAATCTGCCGAAAAAGCAGCAGCAGCCCTTGGCAGGATATTGATGTTGGACCTTGTCATCAGAAATGAAGACAGGCTCCCTTGCCGTCAGCTGGGATGGCGGGGAAATTCTGCAAATCTACTGTTTTCTGATAAGGCATCCTCTGCAAATGCAGATGCATTGGATGAAGTCTTTGACTCTGTGACGCATCAATACAGACCAAGAGTAATGATGGCTCTTCAGAAAGAAAGAAGAGCCAACTCACTAGATATCAAATTAAGCCCTAAGAACACTGAATTGATATCTCAGAGCTCAGATGTTTCTGAGCTAATGGATTCTCCCAGATCCAGTAACATGAGCATTAAAAGCCCAATATCCAATGAAGAAAAAATCAGCGATTGTCGAATTGTGGCAATTGACTCTGGCATTCCACGCAGACCACCAGCTGGAAAACGTGCAAATGACCAAGTAAATTATCCTAAGTTGGTTGAACTTCTTCTCAATAGTGCTGAGTACTCCTCTAACCTTCTATATGAAATAACAGGAGGAAAATTGGGGACTTCCTTATCAGAAGAGGCTGATACACAGGCTAATTTGTGTTCATTTGATATAACTACAGTTGTCCATGAATTCCGAAGTGGGTTTCGTGCCGCTCTTAGGGATTTGCAAGGTTTTCATATTTTCCTTCTCACACTTCATCAGAAGCTGGATAACCTCTTCCGAGCATTCCTGTCTATTACAAATAAATATTCATCAGGAGATTTTGACAAGGAGGATATAGGAGTTGCTGAGTCACCGATACAGGCAGTTGGAGTTGGTGTTCAATGCCTTTCTCCTGTTAATAAAGAACGGTTTGGTAGTGAGACACATGGAGATTTAAATGATATGGACTTGCAGCGAACGGCTCCAAAGACACCACCTTTAGGATACAAAGAAAGCTCAGATACTGCTTCTCCCATCTCAAGAGAAGGTTGGCATGGAAAGTGCAAAGGGAGTGGTGATCCTATTCGGAACTTTCGTCTAACGGCAAGGCTTCGTGACTTCAACAAATTTGCTAAGGTGCGTAATATCGTAGGAGGAAATAGCATGCTACAAAAGACTTGATTAACTTTTGGAAATGAAGACAATAGTTGTTGTCCCTGATTTATGAGTTAAATTTAGGCTATGAGAATATAGAACCTGTCAGATAGACCATAATGATATCCTGTCTACAACATGTTAACTGTCATGCCTCTCTTATAACATACATACCATCCTGTGGAAGGAGATATACCTGGAACTAATTTCAACCTCTTTTTTGTGGTTGATCTGATTGGTGCTATCTGTGGAAGGAGATATACCTGGAACTAATTTAATGGTGGGGCCTACCTGAACATTTGTTACATGTATAATAATTTGAAGACCATAGGCACTAAGGCTTCTTCATTGTCATAGCAAAGATGCATAGTTCCAAAAATGTGACTAGTACAAAAATGAAATTTTTTGCCTGTGGAAGATGGTATTCCACAGGTATTCCTTTCATTTCTTGGGCTGAAAACCTGTGGAAGATGGTATTGTTTTCATTTTGAAAATTGAAGCAGATTTGCTGTATAATTTAGAAGCCCGTGTCTTCCAAAAATCTCAGTATATCAGCATATTCATCCTTAATGATTTTGCTAACACCCTCCTTGCAGGTGGATGCTGAATTAAACAGAGAATTGGAACAATGGAATGAAATGCTTAAGTCAGATGCTGTCAAACTATGCCAAGAAAATAATTTCATTACAGGGTTTTTTGAGGGGAATGACACTAACAGTGTTGTCGATGCTTATGAGTTAAAGGTAATAGTCCATCTTTTCAATCCAAATATACTTGGCTCAGAGAAACAACAAAGAAACTTTGGGGTATTTTTTGCAGGTCCGACTTGAGCACATTCTTGAGAGGATTGCCATGATATCTGATGCTGCAAATACAGAAAGGCCATCTTCAATCACAAGTAATCTGTTCATTGGTRGAGCCCTGGCTGCACGATCTGTATACACATTGCAAAATTTGGGCATCACACATATTTTGTGCCTGTGCTCGAATGAAATTGGGCAATCAGATTCTCAGTATCCTGATCTTTTTAAGTACAAGAACTTTTCTGTTAGTACTTACCTCTTGTGTTTTATTGTTATTTGTGGTTCTTTATTTGCTTGATATTGTTGTTTTATTGATCTGATCAAAGTTTGCATTAGGGTTACATTTATAATTCTCATGGTTGGAGTGTGCTTTTCTTGTGCTGTGTAAGCTATAACTGGTGTTATAAAAGGTTTTATAGCATAGACAACTACCCTCTAGCAAATACTCATATTGAGTTGAGGCTGAAAATATTAGGAACTTTTGTGGCTGAAAATGGGAGATTAAGGCATTTATAGTTCTTATAAAGAGTAGTAGCTTTTTCTTGCTTAGTTTTGTAGGAGTTTCTTGTTTCTATAAGCTCCCCCTTTCAGCACTTGATTGAAACTTGGATTCTTTGAAAAGATGCTGCATGAGCTTTTTTTTTTTTTTTTGATGAATAAATGCTTCATGAGCTTTTTTTTTTTTTTTGATGAATAAATGCTTCATGAGCATTCTGCCTGATCAGATTGTTGGACCTATGATTGTAGTTTGTAGACTTAACTCTAATTATTTATTTTAAGTCTAGTGTAGTGAGTAGTGTACAAGATTATAAAATGGTCAAATCAAGCAGTTATATATGTAGAACTGGTGACCAGTTTGATGATCCAATTATCAATTTCAAATGGTTTTGACAAAAAATAATAATTTTTAGAAGAATGAGAAGTGAGATCACCCTGCGAACTGGAAAACCCTCCTGTTCATGGTTCATCCAATTCAATCATTGACTGAATTGCTCAACTTGCATTAATCACCCCTTCACTGTCAACATGACATTTTGCTGATGATGTAAATTTTTTAGATTTGTGACTATTAAATTTCTAAGTAGTACTATCACTTGCCAACTGCAGCCTATTTATTTGGTACTTCCAGCTACTCATAAAGGAAACTGCTACATTTGCACAGGTATGTGATAATGAAGATGCAGGTATCAGCAACATCTTTATAGAAGCTTCTGATTTCATTGATCACGTAGAGAACACGGGTGGGAGAGTCCTGGTTCACTGTTTTGAAGGGAAAAGTAGAAGTGCTACAGTTGTTCTTGCTTACTTGATGCTAAGGAAGTAAGTTATAATTAACGCTAAAATAGAAATTATAATCCTTACAGATACGTGTAAGGAAGGTTGGCAGTAGAATTATGCAATGGGATCCAAGCCCACTGGCAGTTGGATTCAAGGATGTGGTTTTCTTTCAGGATAGAAATGTATATGCTAGCCAGATAAGACCTATTATTAGTGATTAGGATCCATCTGAAATGATTTCTTAGACTCTCTCTGTGTTTAAGTGGTAAAGCTTGCCACCAACTATAATTGGGTGGGCCCGGGTTGAGAATTTGTTAGACCCTATGCAGTGGAATATCTTCTAATTGGGTGCTCAATTTGAATCCCAATTTGCCTTGGCAACAAGATGATGAGATATATTCTAATTGGGTGCAATTTGGGTGGGCCTGGGTTGAGAATTTGTTAGACCCTATGCAGTGGAATGTCTTCTATTTGAATGCCAATTTGCCTTGGCCAACATGATGGGTGGGTTACTATTTTGAACACCATGAATTATATTAAAGAGGTGCTTACTTGAGTCTGCCCAGGTAACAAAAGTTGTGAGATAGGCGTCTTATTATATATTACTACTATGTGAATGTTCTTAGCATGTGTATAAGTGTATTGATACTTATACACAGTACCATAGTTGGACTCTCTGTGTCAAGTTTTACTATTAAAACATAAAGGATTCAAGGGAGAGAGTGAAAGAAAAGAAGAATAAAACAGGGCATTTTTTTGTGTTATTATTACCCCTCTTTTGGATTTGGTATTGGTATTTTTTGTACGAAATCAAAATCTACTGTTATTTTGTATAGTGCAGTAGTGCATTACTATTTTTTTTTTAATTTATATGTTTGATGCTCGGTTTTTAAAACTAGAAATTTACCTTGAAGTCAGCCTTCAATTGGTAGTTCATAATGATGTCAATGTCATTACTCATTACTAGGAAATCTGAACCTTTCAGTAAATATGAAATGGTTAACCGTTTCAGTGTAGAAAAAGCCTCATTTTATGAACCTTATGCAGGGGTTTCACTTTGTCAGAAGCATGGGATCTTTTAAAAAAGGCTCATCGCCGAGCTCAACCCAATGATGGTTTTGCAAAGACCCTTTTGGACCTGGAAAGGAGATTATATGGAAAGGTTTCCATGGAGTGGCATCCGAGGAAACCCATGATGAAAAGCTGCCCAATTTGTGGAAAAAAGGTGGGACTGAGTAGTAGCTCACTCAAGCTTCACTTGCAGAAATCACACAGGAAGCTCTCGTCGGGGAGTGTTGATAGTGCCATGACCATGGAAATACAGAAAGCTTTGAACGCACTTAAGATGAACCGTGGAGGGAGTGTCAGCCCAACCCAGAAGAAATCTCATTCCATCATGGAAGGATATGATCCGTGACTTGAATTTCAAGGCGAGGGAAGCCCCTTGGTTGCACCAAAAACTAGTATTGCGTTGCATTCACCAACTTGCTCAGTGCTTATTGTGATTTGTGAGGAGATGAAACGATTTTCATGTCCCTGGAAGCTGGAGCCTTGACACCATACATTTAACAGGGAGAATGCAATGTTGCACCAACGGATATGTATTACAGTGATTACCCGTAGGGATTTCAAGATAAGGCTTCTGCGGAATCTCTCTCCCTCTAAACTTCTACTCGTCCAAGGAAATATGCTATTAAACTCTTACCTTAACTTTTTGCCACTCGTACAAAATCCGAACCGTTGTTCAATGAAGTGGAGAAAGGACCTTGACCACCTGATTGGTTAACCCTTTTATGATATCGGTTGATTGTGTCTTTTTTTTGGTAAGGATGATACCGGCTGATTGGTTACAAGATGCAAGTTTTTCCGATGTCATGCCTTAAAACAGAATCATGGAATTAAATAGGTTAAYGTCCATGGTTCTCTTTAAGACAATGTTTTACCAAATATGTTTTCTTTATTCAATGACCTTTTTATTCTTCGACAGTCGAAGGAAAATCGGAATATCATAACCATATTTTCAGGATTTTAGGATTTGGTGAAGAACAAACTCTCTGGTCTTGGCAGCGCAAGTTTGTAATATTCATCCAACTAAAACAGAACATGGACTTGTACTCCTGATTCCTTCCTGTACTTCTGGAGTATGCTAATGAATGAAATGCTCATGGTTTTTTTTTAATTAAAAAAAAAAACTAATATGAAGGTTAAAATTTAGGGCCCATTTAAAAAGACGTACTTGGATATATTTGGGTTGGCAAATGATGGTAAGATAAGCATTGAAGCCAATACCCAGTAGTCGATATGATCACTTGGCACCCCCATCAAATAGGAGGCGTGGAATCAAACCCAGAAAATGGAACCATATGGCCAGTGGATCTCACGTGCCCACCCCTGATTCCCTATGTAATACCGGAAAAGGAAAACTATAGGATGAGATCATATTTTTATAACGATTTCTCATTCCACTAATCTAGAAAATAACTTATGAATGTTGGCAAATCTATATACGTATGATATAATTCAGTTGTACAACTAAATCTTGCAAGAACTCAGATTTAGTCCTCACATTACTTTTAGCTGCACATGGGGTGGGAATCTCTCCTATGAATAAAAATATACAAGTATGAAGATGTTCCCAGCAAAACGCTGTAAGGACCAAATTCGGTTTCATTCTTGCAAATCAAGAGCAGAACTACAAAATTTTAAAAATACAACTTTTGGTTTGGGTGGCGGTTGTTAATTGACAGTTTTTTGAGTTGTTCGTTCATTGACACAGTTCAGGGCAATCTCCAGAAAATACGAGACGAAAGAGAAGCATCCACTCGTCTCGTCTTTACCTATTTCCAGTCCATGTAACAGTGTGAACACTTGCATCAATATCTGTTGTTAATGCTTGAAATAAACAACAAAAGAAAAAAAATGCATGCACAGCGTGGCTTATACAACGTAATGTCAGTACTCAAGCCACCTTCCAGTCTAAAAAACTTGGCTATCAACCTAAACTTTTGAACAGAAGAGACTAATATAAAACCTATTAAAATAAGTTTTGAGGTACAAACAACATCTTGTTGGCATAATGGTTGAAAGAGGTGGTTGGTTTACTCAAGCAGAGCTGGTTGCGGAGAACCACTGCTGCCATTTAGCACAGTCACATTCCCATCTGAATCAACATCCACAATGATTGAATCACCCTCCTTTATTTCTCCTGCTAGCATCTTTTCAGCCATGCTATCCTCCAAAAGCCTCATTATTGCTCTTCTCAACGGCCTTGCACCATAGCTAGGGTTGTAGCCTTCCTCAACCACCCTGTCTCTGAATCTCTCCGTCACCTGAAGTTCTATGTCCTTGGCCTTCAGCCTGTCAAACACTTCCTTCAGCATTATGTCTGCAATTTCCTTCACCTCCAGCTTTGTGAGCTGACGGAATACAATCATCTCATCCAACCGATTCAGGAATTCCGGCCGGAAGTACTGCTTGAGCTCCTCCGTTACCAAGCTTTTTATCCGGTTGTAGCTGCTGTCCTTCTCATCATAATCGAGATCAAAGCCTATCCTGCGACCTCCCTTCTCAATCACACTACTTCCAACATTAGATGTCATTATCAGGAGGGTATTCTTGAAATCCACAGTTCTGCCCTTGCTGTCTGTCAACCTTCCATCTTCAAGTATCTGAAGCATCATGTTGAAGACATCAGGGTGTGCCTTTTCTATCTCATCAAAAAGGACTACAGTGTATGGGCGACGTCGAACAGCTTCAGTCAGCTGACCACCCTCGGTATAGCCAACATAACCAGGGGGTGATCCAATGAGCTTAGAGACTGTATGCCTCTCCATAAACTCACTCATATCGAGCCGGATCATAGCTTCCTCAGACCCAAAATAGTAGGCAGCGAGTGCCTTGGCCAGTTCTGATTTTCCTACACCAGTTGGACCAGAAAAAATGAAACTGGCAATTGGTCGGTTGGGGTTTTTGAGACCAACACGGGCACGACGGATGGCACGGCTAATGGCTTTGACAGCTTCATCCTGACCTATTACTCGCTTGTGAAGTGTTTCTTCCATCTTGAGAAGGCGATCTGATTCATCACTTGACACCTTCTCAACAGGGATACCAGTCCAAGAAGAGACAATATGCTGGATGTCCGATTCTGTCACAACAGGACCCTCATCACCTGCCTCACTCTCTGCCTTGGTTCTCTCTTTGCTTTTATCTATAAGATTTGCCATCTGGGTCTTGAGGTCCATTTCCCGATCTCGTAGTTCCCCAGCCTGTCATTTTTTTTTTTTTTGCATTTTAAGCTTTATATAAATGATTTCCAAACTCAAAAAGAATAAAACATCCCTTTTATTCTTTGGCACGTAAACCAAATACAAATTGTCACTTCTTAACAAGTATATAGGACTTGTACAAGTTCTCAAGATGTACCTTTTCAAAGTCTTGACTACGAACAGCTTCATTCTTCTCCTTTGTAATCTGCCTTAGCTCCTTTTCAAGCTCTCTAGCTTCCTCAGGTAGCTGTTTAGGACAGCATTTTCATTTGCTCAACTTACAGAACTAGTCCAAAAGGGTAATGGCAAGGCTAGTGTAAAGCCATACCTGTGCATGACGAAGCCTAACTCGAGAACCAGCCTCGTCAATCAAATCAATTGCTTTATCAGGGAGGAACCGATCGCTGGCGATTGCAGAAATATCAGTAAGAATACCACAAATCCAAAGCTTAAAATAGGAGCATAGCGGCTAAACCATTCTAACTCAACACCAGTAATTATTAACTTTATCAGAAACACAGGACTGTGCAAAATTAAGTATACAAGAGCAATGATAACACTCTGATAGTGGACTGGAGACCATGCTCATCATCCATATTGGAGTAAAACTTTATAAGTAAATATGATGGCCACAAATGCATCGGTCAATCAACTAATGACAAAACCCCTAGAACACCCACTCCCCTTATCCTTTCTTACAACAGACTAAATGTCAGAGAGAAAGGTTCCCTAACCTGTAGTTCTACAATGATTTCTTTGTCATGATAATTACTGTTCAGAGTAACATCATTTATCTTTGCCAGATAAGGAGATGGCAGCACTGCTGAGATAGCACTACAGTTATCAAGGCAGCAAGGGGAACTACGCAATAGAGTATCACCTTGATGCCTAAGTGCTATCAATGCACCAGCTTGGCGGTGGTTTTTTTTTCAAACAAGGTGTATACTTTATTGGATATGGCATGGTTCGCAATACCAATTGAGATTTAGTGAAATTTCTTTGAAATCTCTCCATTTTCCAAGAAATTTTTTTCCTAATATCTCCATTATGTCAGCAATATGTTAAATTCCATTATAGATTTACAATTAAGGTTTAAATTTTTATAGTATCATCAGAAACTTTCTAATATTTCACAAAAATCATCATAATTTTTTAACAATATTTTCCTAGCAATTGGATAATTGACCTACCATTTTTATACGATTCACTAAGTCACTAAAATTCAAAAGAAAAATGGCACAAAACTACAAAGGAGGGATTCTCAATCTAATCAAAACATATAATAACAAAAAGGACACAAGTCAAAATGGCAAGTAAATGACACGTAAAGAAGAAAAGGGCCAAAAGACTGAAAGGGAGACACAGAAAGATACTTATTTAAGTCTCTTAATCTTCCTTTATTTGATTCATACAGTTGTTTGCTATGGTTTAATGGGTCTTAAATGTGCAATTATACTTCTTTTAATGATTTTTGAAAGTTTATTAACTAACTTCACAAATCTCGTTTCACCATTCCATGTTTTTAGTGAAATATCCCAAAAATTTCCCCATCTCTACATGGTGAAATGCCCATCAATGTCAAAATTGCAAACCACAAAGAAGTATTGCAGCAAGATTATAAACGAATAAGTAATTAACAACAAACTAATATATACACCATGGTGCTACAATTAGAGAAAACAAATAGAATAGATATAGCATACATCACAATAAGGTATCTGCCTTGCCTTTTTCTTTCGAAAATCTTTAACATGTATTCAAAATTTCAAATATGGTATGGTGTAAAGGTGTCCCCAGATAGTCCCCGATAATTATGCATAGCACCAAGTGTTCTAAGACGTTGATATCTAATAAAAGTGAAGGTGACTAAAACACATGAACCAATGAGATGAGATATTTGGTACCAATCGAAGGTTCTAAGAGGGCTGTGGAAAATGAAAAAAGAACCTAGGTTCTGGTAGTGGGGGAAGAATTTTTTTAGCTCATTCTTTAACAGAGATATGCCCTTAGAACCATATAGAGGAACAGGATTCAGGCTACCAACCCCATGAAAACACCAAAAATTGCTTGGTCTCATTCCCAATAAAGGATGTTAATCAGCTGCTGTGGGAAATGTGCAACCCTAACATGAACAAGAAAAGGCAGGTCCAAGGCAACTATTTTTTTTCCAGAAGAGTGATTCTGTTGATACAGCAGTCCAAGCTGTAAGCTGATAATTGCATTTGAAAAGGTAGTATGGAACCTGCAAATAAAGAGGCAAATTGGTGAATCTACTCGATGATTGCCACCATCTCCCCATGTATGAAGACATGTACGGATATGCTGCTAAGTAGATTAGAGTTCATACTTGAATAGTTATGAACCATATTAAATCCATACATTAGTGTTAAGATATGCTAAGTATCATACATTTCAAAATTTCGGGCTTTAAGGTCATAGGATCTCTACTGACGGATCAATTAAGAATCACATAATAACAGACCTGATGTACTGATATGATAGTTGTGCAGCAGAAACTAGGGCCTCATCCGTATAGCGTAACTTGTGGTGAATCTCATATCTCTCTCTGAGCCCTTTCAAAATCTGAATGGTCTCATCAACAGTAGGCTCAGGTACTTTTACAGGTTGAAATCGTCTTTCTAATGCTGGGTCTTTCTCAATGTGCTTCCTGTATTCATCTAATGTAGTGGCACCAATACACTGCACCAATTAAATAACTTATAAGACTCTAGTATTGTTCAATGAAAGCACAACTGAATTTGGCCATGCAACCATGATATCAAGTTTTTTCATAGAACATGAATCATAGTAACAAGTGTTCTCACACAACCAATTGAAGTTGTAACTTGAAGGGCAGAAAGATTAAGTTACCTGCAGCTCTCCTCTTGCAAGAGCTGGTTTCAATATGTTTGCAGCATCTATTGCACCCTCAGCTGCTCCTGCTCCTATCAAAGTGTGAACTTCATCTATAAAGAGTATTATCTCATCACTTTGTTTGATTTCCTCCATCAGCTTCTTTAATCTTTCCTCAAACTCCCCACGATATTTTGTGCCAGCAACCAAAAGACCCATATCCAGTGTAATCACCTGATGACACCAATAAATTTTGAATGATTATCCTTTTCTGGATTGATGTTTTCGTGAGAGTTTACCACGTAAAAATAGAACAATTCCAACTTCTCAAAACTCAGGTGAACAAAAAAACTTATACACTAGAAAAGAGAAAAATTATAAAAGAATGAGTGATAAAGCATGAATGGCTGAAAGAAAACATACAATTGAGAGCTTGTCAGGCAAAAAAAGAAACAATATATTTACATGTTCTGCCTTCTCACAAGTAACACTCTCGACATGAAAAGTTCATGTGCACGGACTATGGAGGCTACCATGATGGGCCCCATCGCCCAGAAAGGAGGTATTCCAGGTGTTCATCATCCTAGTGGCACAACACTAAGCATCTAATATATTGTTTTCTTCCTGATCCAATCACCATGCTTCCTATGACCACCACCTAAAGAGAATCAATAAAAAAAGATGTGATAAAAGGATTTCATGCTTAGAAAAACAATATCATCCCACCTCCACGATGGGAGTGGGACACAATAATAATAAATTAAGCTTCTTAGTTGTGTAAAACAATACAACTTGCCAGCTGCACCAGGAACAGGGTCACAGTTTTTTTTGGTTGATAAGTAGAGTTAAACTTGTTTTTCTTTTTTTTTTTTTTTGTATTTTGTGATGTTTTTGATAGGTCAGCTTTTGGCTGCTTGTAGTTCATATGAATGGCGTGGCTCTTCCCTCCATTGCATTAATAAAATCATTGATTACTGTTACTGATAAAAAAGAACAAGTTCATACATGAAGTGTCATGAACTTTGTGTGGAGAAAATTTTGGAAATAACTTATTAGAAGGATTTAAGAGATGACTCCATTGCTTCATTCCCAACCTCCACATCGCCCAATAAACAGAATGCATGCCAAACACTTACTGATAGAATATCTAGGATAAATATTTCTACTGTTATTTTTATGCATATGCCGAAACTGTAGATTTCATACTTCTATTATTTTGATGGATTGTACTTCTATTATTTATTTGTTTATTTTTGAGAATTGCTACATTGAACACCCTGTATCCATGTCAACATCAACTAATACATCTATGTAAAAGATGCATTAGATCCAGAAATATCACCTTTTTCCCCTCAATTGTTTCTGGGACATCACCACTTGCAATCCGCTGAGCAAGTCCTTCTGCAATTGCTGTTTTCCCAACACCAGGTTCTCCAATAAGGCAGGGGTTGTTCTTTGTCCGCCTACCCAGAATTTGGGTCACACGTTCGATTTGATCTTGTCTTCCAACAACAGGATCCAATTTACCCTAAAAAGGCAACAAATGTTGCTTAAACCAGCTTCTTTGAAATAATGCAACCTAGCATTGTAATAAATGCCAGAGAAAAGAATTTTAAACAGAGAGAATAAAAAACTAAAGATACCTCTTCTGCCAGTTTTGTTAAATTAGTGCCATACTCCTCAAGTGTTGGCATCTTATTACCACTACTTCCTCCTCCAACCCCAGCTCCAACAGCTTCTGTGCTCTCACCCACCATTCGGATAACCTAATTGCATCAAAGGAACTCATAAAAAATAATGGATTTGCTAATTCATCAAAAAAAAATAATGAATTTGCTAAGTACAACAAGAAATGCAGGATTCCTTCAATATAGCAGGAGTGAACCACAAAAGTCTATTTTACTTGCCTGGGTGCGTATGTTACTTTGGTCAGCACCTAGGTTTTCAAGCACACGAGCAGCCACACCTTCACCCTCACGTAGTAGTCCCAAAAGCAAGTGCTCCGATCCAATGTAATTATGACCTGAGAAATTTAACATGTAAGAGTTGACAGCTTTATACACAGAACTACAAAATATAGAAGAGTTTCACCGAGTCAACATTTTACACTGCTCTGAGCTCAGGCTTCGATCCAGGCCCATTCAAATTTGGACAAAACCCCAAACCAAGCCCGCCCAAGTTTGCACCCTAACTTCAATGTACTGCACCACTTCACATAGATGGAATATTCCTTACTTCTTCCCTGAGGAAGATACTTCACTTATTGCTTAAAATAAAAACAGGCTGCTCAAAAGAGTTACAACACTAATGATACTAGAAGGATAATAGGGAACTTATCCATCACTAGATCCAAGCCTAAGTTTGACAATCCCCAATACAGCCCTATATAATAACAGATCATAGGTGCATGTTTGAACTAAGGATTCCAAACAGATAAGCATGGGTTAAAACTTAAAAGAGGTAAAAAAACAAGGAAAAGAAAATATTCAACAATTTATTAGCAATTCAGAGATTACCAAGTTGGCGGGCTTCCTCTAGAGAGAGCTCTAAAACACGTTTTGCACGAGGAGTAAATGGGATCTCCACAGCAACAAATCCACTTCCCCTACCAATGATCTTCTCCACTTCTACACGTGCATCCTTCAAATTAATGCCCATGGATTTAAGAACTTTTGCAGCAATACCAGTGCCTTCACCAATAAGACCCAATAGAATCTGCTCTGTGCCAACAAAATTGTGTCCAAGCCTCCTTGCTTCCTCCTGAGCAAGCATAATAACTTTAATGGCTTTTTCTGTAAAGCGCTCAAACATAGCTACTGCTACCCCTCGGCTAGCCTTTGCTCTTGGAATGGAGATTGCCGCTGCCACCTTGGAATGAAAATTACAGTGTGACCTTAGCATAGAATCTAATGCATTAGATGCCCGCAATCCTGAAAAACCTCGGAGCATAAGACTGGGAGCTGGTATATTGTATGCCATTATGGAAGATCTTCTATTAGATCCTCTAAATTGGCCATGATGTTGACCAACTGCAGCAGATAGGTTTGTTGACTGAACAAGAGCCCTAGCCATGACCCCTATCGGTAATAAAGAAAACCTATAATCTTTATAAAATGTTACAACCTGCGGTTAGCATGCAACAAACGACATCAGTAACAGTAATTTAAGCAAGTCTTGGTACAGAAAAGCACAACTTTAAGATAATAAATAGTACTCTGTTTTGCAGTAGATAGATAAATAACAACAACACATATACAGTTATTTGCATATATATATATATATATGAAGAAGCATAAAACCAAAAAAATCCATTCAACTTTCTCTGAAGGAAACTATATGTTATTATGTTTTTCTTTGGCCACATAAGATTGCTATTCTTACAAGCAGTTCCTGAATAAGGAATAGGCGCGCCCACACAAAACAAGATGGAGCAAAAAGATAACATCAATGACTATGCGTTTAAACCTCTTTTTTGTGCTACAATGCAGCATGTCCATGGTTAGTTCGGGCAGGGCAGTGGTGGAGCCAGGAATTTTCTTTTGAGGGGGCCAATTTGAACAAGAAAATGAGATAGGGAGTAGAAGTAGGGTATAGAGAAAAATGGTTTGAGAAGATTTGAATCTATTACATATTTTAAAAAAATAAACAATTTCTTTTTTTATTTTGGGGGTTGGAGTTAGAGTATGATCCTTTACATTTTAATTCAAGTTTTGGGGGGCCCAAGGACCCAGTTTATTACATTTTGACCAACCTCCCAATAGTAACCCTATATAAATAATGATTTAACAAAAAGTTGGGGGGGGGGGGGGCAAGGACCCCCCACCAGTATACTTAGCTCCGCCCTGAGTTCAGAAATGGACAAATCCTGTTTGAAGGGGTCCACAAGAGTACACCAGCCATTCTGTGGAATCATTAAGTGTCCTACTCCACAGGATTAAACCTGGGTCTCCACCCCTCTTCTACTCACAACACCATTGCGGTTCATTAGCAACAATATGATAAGTGGTCTCTGAACTGTTATTAGTAATAATAAGGACAACAGGTATACAACCCTAAAACTCACCAGTTGCTAAATGTATTGTGAATTTTATCTCCCTAGAGGTGACAATGAAAAACAGATTGATCCATGATGATTAATATTAGATAAGGAGGTAAAACAAGAAATGTACAATTGCGCAATAGCCATAACTAAATTCATTAAAAAGTGAGTAAGTAACCATTCTGAAAACACAGTGGTCTTGCATCAAGGACCAGATCTCATATCATAAACAAGGGGAAAAAAAGATAGAATCATTAAGAAAGGGAACTGGGGGAGGAAAAGAATTTTTGTTATTTGAAAAAAAAAAGTAAAGGAAACCTGATGCTTCTATTCAAATAAGCATATGCTCTACATTCAACAGAGACAAGTGATGAAGTACGTAAATTCAATAGAAATGACCCATTAAACATGTAGAAAAGTAATACCAATCAAAAAAAGCATGTAGAGAGAAACCTATAATTTTCCTAGTTACCATAAAATCTTCAATCTCAATGACCCCATAATCGAGCCTTAACTCCCGAAGGCACTATAGAAGGCATAAAAAAACACTTCAAGCTAATAATCAAGAAAGCTCTAGCAAGTTGATAAATGCAACAAATGAAGCTGTTTTCTAGCTGGCAAGTTGGTGAGTTAAGCGCTGCATCTCCTCAATACATGTCTTCTAAATTTCTTCCAGAAACTGCGAATTTGAAAACCCTTTTGAACAACATTTCCGATTGTAGTCGCTTTCATTCTGTTCGATAAGATTCACTCATCCACCAAAAAAAAGGAATTCTTTCGGATGATGGAGAACAACATTTGTTATATAGGGTTTCACATATAAAACAAATTCATCAACCGAGAACAAATCTACATATAAAAAAGCTTGATAACGCACACCCAAGACAGAGATCATAATATCAAGTTATCAACAGCTTATTAATAACACAATTCAATATTCCAATACAAAGAAAGAAGAAAAGGAAAAAATTCAGAAGCCAATGAAAACCCAAAAATCAAAATTTGAAAGTGTGTAAACGAATGTACTAAATACCTAAGAGCCCCTCAAAACTTGAACGGAGAATTAGAAAAATCAAAGAGGAAATCGAGTAATAGTACCTGAAAGTCTCTCGTAAAAGCTTATAATCAACTTCAATGAATAAGGAGAGAAAGGGACCTAAAGAGAAAGAGAGAGATCGTTCTCCTTCTCAGGGAGACGAGAGGAGAGGAGAGGAGAGGAGAGGTAGGCTAGGGTCTCTTTTAGGCGTGGAGAGAGTGCCTTTTCTATGGTGGGGATTGGAAAGAGGATAAAGAAATGTGGATGATAATAAGCCGTTCTTTTGTTTGCAATGAGATATAGAGATATCTCATACTCTATATCTCATATCTCCCCCTAATTTCCCCATGGATTATCTACTATATACCCTACATGGTCGGTTAGTTTTACTATATGCTTATCAACGTCTACAAATCTTACTTGAGCAATGAGCAATCTCCTAGGGATACACGTTTTTCTATATACAAGCAAGGGTGTATCAGTACCACGCATCTCACACCATACATCTCGAATATTGGTGGGTTTGATGGTCCTTATCCTTGATGGTTGATGTTTGTAATTGTCTGTCTCAAGCCGTGGTCCTAGACTCTCTAGTCCAAATTGTGTCCATTGCTTACAAGCAACAACAGTCTTCTTCTTCAAAAACAGCGGTAGGGAGTCGGGTCAACCTTCTATAGATATTTTTTTCTTTTTTTTTTTTATTGTGACCATAGTTTTTAGGATTTTTCTGACAATATGCTTATATGCATTTTGCAAATTTTATAAAAACACAAATAAACAAGAGGGGCCTCATCCACCATTTGTTTGAGAAAAGGCCTGACTGTGTTTAGGAATAATCAGTAGTTACGTCTACGAGACGTATGAATCATTGTCACTCCCAGAATATCTAGCCTACGGTTGTAAATGTAATCACAGCTTCACAGCTTATAAGAATACATCCATACTTGGTATGCTTTTTTTTCATGGAAAGATATTTTCAATGCAGCGGCTGTAAAAGGCTGTACACTAAAGCCATTTCGTTACAGCCGTAGAGTGAATTATTTTAAGGTTTCCACAACAAGTTTGGCAAATCTTCTTAAGAAGGTTTTCAACGAATTGGGATTTGCTCCTCTCATTGGCTTTACAGCGACATCCCACCATGTATTGAAAACATCTCCCATGAATAATAAATATAAGTATTGGATATGTTTCTGATGTGTGACTAAAATATGCTGTGAGGAACACTCTATGAGAAGCAGATCTGGACTCATTTTCAACAGCCTAGATAGCCAAAATATGTAAATGAGCTTCTGGGGTTTGTCTTTAAAAGTTTTGATAGCTTGGTAAATATTCTAGATCTATCATGATCTATAAAACTGTTAAACGAAAGATTTTAGAAAGCTTTAAATTAAATAGAGCTTCTAGATGTTTGGTCGCAGAAATATTTACGAAGCACCTTACATATCCAAGTATACAAGCTTTTAGCTTTTTCCTTCACTTCCTTGTAAGAAAAAAAAAAAAAAAAAAAAACCAACTCTGTATGTGTTGTGAATGTTTAGTTTGGCAGTTAAAAGTTGGATTTCATACCCGATTAACCCAAACACCGGACCTTTTTTCTGGTACAAGACCAAAAAAACATAAAAATCGACCCACAGAGAGACATTTATCACAATAGTTTTGTGTTTGATAATGGTCTATGCAACACATTACGATAGTAAATTAGGGTCGGTTAAGGAGTATAAATAAAAATATTGATGCTTTGTTAACATGATGCATGATGTCGGTTGTAGAAATTTCTCGATAAAAAATTTTCTCGCAGAAAATTGAACACGCTATTGTTCTATTACGTGTTCTAAAACACACCACACGACATTTTTATTTACAATCTTGCTGGCTGCTATTATTACAAACACAACATCGTTTTCAACCTGTGGAAAAATCCAGTTCTCAGATACAATCTTCTTGGAGTTTTATGCATACTATTTCTGCCCTCTCTCTCTCTCTCTCCCTAGGTAGACTTTTTTTTTTTGTATTTATTGAAGTTTATCAAGAATATTACTGATTTTCGGCCAAATCAATCACATAATCTGTATCATTTAATAATGGAATTAACCTGATACATATGTTTGGAATGAGTAATGTCTATTGGGATGGAATAATAGACCATGTAAAAACATGTCAAGCAACGAGATATACTGCTTGTTGCAACTCAATCACTTTAACTCGTGTATGTTTAGGTCACTTCCATTACAAGATTCTTGCAACTGTGGCCAACGTACTGTTCATACTCAATATATATACATTTACATTTGAATATTGTATTTATGCGAAATATATGGTACATCGATACAGCAAAAAACATGATTTCAGATGATAAATATATTTTATTAAATGTAAAAAATAAATAAATTTTAATATAATTGATTGAAATCTAGATTTGACATATAGCCAATATCAATGTATCTCATGCATAAAACATAGGCTCGAGCCTCAACCAGCCAGCCCCGACCTGTACCTCATGCTTAAAACATAGGCCCAGGCATAGGCTAAGCTTTGGACCTATGAATTTACAAATAAAATATAGGCCATTTTACGGTCCACTCCACCTCAGAATTGGAAAATTATTTTCCCAAATGCATTTATTCCCAGCCTCCCCCTACAACCCTCCCCCATGAATCGGGGAATCTCCCCCTCCCCCCAACACTAATCAGCTCTACGATCGAATTATGAAATCTGAGATGGAGTGGACGGTAAAAACTAAAAACCCCTAAAATTTATATTGGTGTTAAATTGTTGTTGTAGCGACAAACCAGCCCATTAAAATCCATTTCTCCTTCTTGCCGTACCTATTTTTTATTCTTCGCTTTAAATTGGCCCATCAAGGACCTTTATTATCAGCCCGTTAAAGCAGAAGGACATTTTGGCCCAGATAGGCCCTAACCCTTAATCATTTGACCCCATGTAGTGTTTTTAGTTGGCCCATAATGGCCTATACTTGTCTCAAGCAGCCATAGGGGTGTAAACGGTATTCGAAAATTCGATTTCGAATTCGATATTTGATATAATCAAATCGAATTCGGATAATTCGAACATTTAATCGGTCAAATTCGGATATCCTATTCATACCGAGTAGTTAATCGGATTTGAATTCRGATATGACCTAATTTGATTCGATAAATATCCGAATTCAGTCGCTTATTTAATTCTTATATAAAATATTTTATATAATTTAGATATATAATAATTAAGTTATATAAATAATTTATATATTTTTATACTTTATATCAATAAAATACTTATTTTATATATTTATTAATTATCTAAAATAAATAATCAATCAAATTTGAATTGAATAGAATTCAAATTCGGATATTAATTTTCAATATCCATCGGATATCGAATCGAATTTAGATATCAAATTTTCTAATAAAATATTGCCTGATCCGATTCGAATTCAATCTGTTTACACCTCTAAGCAGCCACTCTAGTGGTATTCGTTGACACATTCATAAAGTTCATAGAACCTTGTGGTCTTGACGGGAGTGTTAAAGATTTTACTTATTGTAATAAGATGTTAGAGATAAATCTGTATAAGTGCACCTCATCAAAATCCAGGTAAATCAGGATAAAATTAGTCTTAGATTTTCAACTCCATCTTGTTAAGCATTTATTAAAAATAAGGCATGGATGATGATGACTGATGAAACCTATGGTAATCACTTTGACCTAACAGATTAAAGTCTATGGTAAATTATCCTGTACTTTGGGGTAGTGGCAATAAGGCATGGATGATGATGACGATGAAACCTATGGTAATCACTTGACCTAATAGTAACAGATTAAAGTCTATGGTAAATTAGAGATTATTATCCTGTATTTTGGGTAGTGGCAATTACCCCTCGTGAACTTTCGTTTGCAACAAAGATATCCTGAACTTTTAGATTCCGACAAAACCCTTCCATTAGTGCTAAATTCAACCTTTTCTAAATCTCATGTAAATTCAAGTTTTTCTAAATCTCTAAATTACCCTTTTCCAACTATTCTTAGTGTTTTTTTTTTTTCAATTTCCATTTGTTACTAACTTGGTTGATATTAATTGCATGTTGTGTTTGTTGCAAGCCTAGGTTTTTATAGAAGTTTCTTGATTTTTTTTTATTGCAATTTCCATTTTATAGAAGTTTCTCAAGTGAGTACTACTTTGATAAATTAACTTTTAGGGGTGAACATGAATCTAACTTTTCATGAGCAATTTGAGCCTAACCGAACATATTTTTTAATTTTATAGTAAGCTTGACTCACAATGAAACTTGAACTCGAGCCTCATAGTTTCTTGGCAAGTCAAGCTCTAATAGCCAGATATTTGGATTGGCTCGGCACAAATCCACTCCTATTAACTTCTTCCATCACGTAACTCTGGAAATTCAGGGGAATAATTGCCACTACCCTTGAATTACAAGGTAATAACCTGAAAGTTCAAGGGAGTAATTACCCTAAAATCCATAAGGCTTCCAAAAAAGAAAACAGAGAAAAAAACTATTTATGCTTATAAGTGCMCATTTGGGAGGGTTTCCAGGTAGCTGCTTCTGACGTTGTATGACTCAAGAAACATTGTGAAGCCATGTTTGGTAAAAAGCCAAAAATAGAGTTACACGAGCCCAAAAATCGCTTATCGAAAGCGACTCTTGTATATGTAGGCGTTAAACTTATTGTAGCAAGTAGCAACAACCCAGCCCATTGAAGCCCATTTCTCCCTCTTGTGGTACATGTTTTTATTTCTACGCTTTTAAGTTGGCCCATTCCTCCCTACGCCTTAATCATTCATGTGGTGTCTGCCCATGATGACAAGTAGCCATTCTAGTGGTATTTATTGACAAATCCATAAAGTTGATATATCCTTGTGTGCTTGAAAGGAATGTTGAGGATTTTTCCCATTGTAATAAGATGTAAGATATACACCGTGTAAGTGCATCTCTTAATAATCTAGGTGGATGAGGATAACATTAGGTCCATTTGGTTGGTAGGAATAAGGGTCTCTGGAATCAGAATCAGAATGTCCCGTTCAACCGTTTGATTGGTTGGACTAAATCAGAGTAAAATCCCATCGTAATCACTTGTCTTAGGTTTCAACCTCATCTTTTTGAACATTTATTAAACCTATTGTAATCACTTAACCTAACAAAACAAATTAAAATGTACTAGGCTTCCCAAAAAATAGAAAAACAGAGCAAAATCTATTTATATTTCTAAGTTGCCGTTTGAAAGAGCTTTCACATCATAATTCATACATTGTGCACATTGTATGAGCTAAGAAACCCGGAAAGTCCCAAGTCCTATTTAGTAAAACACTGAAAAACTAAAAATAGGCTTACAGGAGGAGCCCAACCTTCCTGTGAAGCCATCACCGCATAAGAGTTAAGCCCTCCCAATGATACCATGCCAGCAGTGCTCTGCACATCGTCCAAAATTGCATGGTATGGAGAGCCACCTGCCCTGCTCTGTGTAAAGTGCAAATCAAAAAAGCACACAAAAATAAATAAATAAATAAAAAGTTTGAAGAAAATAAATAAATAAAATAAAATTAAAGCGCTTCCCGAAGAATGAAATAGCACAGAGTAAACATTTTGTAAAATGGTTCTTTACAAATGTAGTTAACAGATTAAAATCCCAACTGTTGCTCGAGCACAATTGATCAATTGAGGCGCTTAACGACTCAGACATGCCTCCAAGGTCCAAGCCCAAGCTGAGGCAATCTAGATCATTTAAATACCGCATTCCTTTAGATTGATAATAAACAAAAGCAGCCCCAGAGTTCTCCACATATTACTCCTTCGATAAATTATGCGATTGGGATCTCCGCTCAGAAGTCCTTGAATAATGTTGCAAAGACAAGCATCGGCTCGATGCAGGTAAGGAGAATTACTGAGCTAATTTCAATCTTCCAAAACTGCAGTGCTGATTCCAGAAACAGTATCACACATTACGAAGACATCCTCCCAGCATCCTCGGAGCAATAAGAAATTATAGTTGGAGCTTCAACCTGCATTTTCAAAAAATTGAACTCCAATGCCATTATGGGCTTTGACAATAACACAGAAATGCTACGATTCCATGCATCACTTTCTGACAGTGCAACTTCGGAGTGTTCAGAATTGAAACTAAGGTTATTGGATGGCATATCCCTGTCATTCTCGGTTGCAGAAATTGGCCCTGATACTTTCGCAGGCACCACAGGTCTCACCCTAGACAAAGGCATTAATCACGAAACAGGATCAGCAAGAGGACTTTGACCTTTAAGTTAAAAATATATGTAAACCAGGGCCAGAAGTTAAATCGCTAAAGCCTATAAATTAGGATCAGAACTGAGGTCACTTTAGGTGGAGAAACAAAATTGTTGACAATTTCACATACACACCAAGAGACATCATTTTAACGCTTGAATTTGGTGATATTTCAGTAGTATCTATTTTCCTACCAAAACAACCCAAGTAGAATTAAGATATCAACATTTTTTTTTTTTTGCAAGAAAAACAGAGCCAAATGGTCAAATGATTGGATAATTACAATACTGACCAATTTGAAGAAAAAGATACAACTAATGTGGTCACCCTTCGCCATTTTTTCCTTCTTTCTACWGTTCAACTTAATACCCCCCAAACTCCTTTCTGTAGCTGACATTCCAAAATGTATGTCAGTTTTCCTTTGCAGAACATTTATTTTCCCAGCAATTTATAGGTGCCTAGGCCCTTAAAAGGGTCAAATTTGCATCAGGTCTGAACTGGTTCAAAACTAATACTTTTTCTTATATCACCAAAAGCTCATTCAATGAATATAAAAGAACCCAAGCCTGAACCCCAATTCTAATGGATGCCTAAGTTAAAATGGAAGTAAGATGTCAGATCATTTTACAAAAGGTAGAAAAGTTTATATCTATGCACATCTTTTACCATTATAATTCAAAAGCATGCTACTCTGAAGGAAGGAAAAACCTGCAGCTGATCTGACATGAATACTTGAGAAGGTGTGGAGTATACTTTGTATTGCCACTGCAATTTTACAGCAGAAAAACTAATTATCTGTCCTCAGAAGTAAGAATCAATTAAACATCAATCAATAGAGAAAATTATTACCTAAAACTTGGAAGTGACATTTTTATAGTGGGACCCATCCACATATTATCAGATTTCGATTCTGGGGGTGCCATCACCAAGCTCGTGAGAGGAAGAAAATGAAAAAGAGGATAAATCAAAATACTTTGAAAAGAAAAGAACATTTCTAAAATCGATGAGGAATAAGGGCTTGCTTGGTCCTTGCTTCCCATATCATGAGGTGTTTTGTGAAGAAACATTCATGCACCAGTGGGTGCTTGATCATGAATTATGACAGAAACCCATTGTTCAGGGTCCATGTTTTGGTCCCAACTGACAAATAGGTTCAATTTATCAAATAAAAACTGGCAAACAGGTTCATCCCAAGTATACTGGCAACTTATTTTCAGCATTTCAAATGCAGCGGACATGGCATGATTTGGCTCCAACTTTTCACCTAATGCTTATTCTCACATACCATACAGGGTGAATATCCAAAAACAAGTTTATTAGCTGAACTAATGTGATCCATGTTAACAAGGAAAGTTTTATGCTTTGCGGTCATTGCTAATCAGAAAATTTCAAAAGGAAAATTCTAGGCAATTGTTGTGAGACCAGGGATGTATGTGTATTTGTCATTTTTTATTTATTATGTATAGATGTGTCTCAACTTAGGTAGGGGTATATTAGACCTTTTATTTTTATATAATAGAAGTATTCCTATAAGTAGTGTCTGGCTGGGTGAGATTAGACCCTTTCCGTTCACGGCTCAAGAATAGCCATATTTTGATCTCAGAAGAGTTGTATTTCATTAATGGATGAATTATTAGAATTTAGAAACCAAAAAACAAGAAATAAATAAATAAAAGAAACTAAAAACATTACTTTTGTGCAGAACATGACATCTTATCATAATTTCAACCATTGTGAGGGTATTCATATTCTGAAATGTAAAATCCCATTACAATTTAAAGCCAGTATCTACTGTGTGCTTTCATTGTGAGGATATCCATGATGAGAATATACACAGAATAGTGCAAAACAAAAAATTCAACCAACTCACCAGCAGTCGGAAGGCTGATATTACAAAAATCAGTTGCAGAAGAACCTTTGATTTCCATTACTTGAATGTCTAGTTGATTCTTTGGACAAAAGAAAGCAGAACCCATGCCAAACATGTTTAAGAAACCATTCTTTTTATTTCTTGACCTCTCTGAGATTGCCATGGTTCTCTGCTTATCAATGTAACATCAGATTCAATGAGACAGATAACATATAAGAATGATCCAGAACACTTGATATTGTGTACGGCTTCTAACTTGCTATCGTGCATGGCCACTAAAATTTACAATTGCTGCATGTAGCAATGCATGGACAAATTGTTAATAGGGATAGCACGAAGCAATATCATACCCTAAGGTTCCAATTGAGGGATGTTCCTAGATGATCCTATCCAATACAATAAAATGAAACCATTGTCCAAGAATTGGTTACAATAAAAAATAAAAACATGGTTAATAATGCAATAGCCATGATTTAACCAATGATACACAAACACCAACGCATGTGTGCGTCATTGTATATAGAGATATGTAGTTCAAATTTTAGTTGGAAGTTGCACTCTAACACTGCCATGAGGCCTGGCGGTGGCTTGTAAGAGCCATTCATTTGAAACTCATATGTTCCGGATTTCAAACCCAAATATTGCAGCCAAAAATCAGACATCCAGTAGCATGCACTACTTCTGGATTTTATATAAAAACTTACAGATCCCAAAGAGGTTCATCGGCTGTTGAGGATGTCCAATAATCATGAATTTGGGTTCTGAGATCTCTATTGTGGGCTTCCCCAATCAATTTTTCAAATTTATCACAAAGTGCGTCACGTCACAAATAACATAGTGGTTCATTTTTTTTTTTTTTTTGCAAGAAACAAGAAATAAGTATATCATGTTTACCCACTAGAAGTACTTTCAACAGTTACCTTTGAAAATCCAGCAACTTGACTTGGAAGCCCTACACACTGCATAAAAGCAAGCTAAGTCAAGAAGAAAGGCCACACAACCTAATAATTTGAGATCAAGCAAATTATTCCCATAATTCCTGATGAAAAAGTGGAATGGGCTTCAAGATTGCCACAATTCCTCACCTTTCGTCCATGAAAGCAAGCCTCCTGGCTGTTAACAAGTACCCTAGCAGCCCATCTGTCCACAGAGGTATTAACACTTTTCATTTGCAATAATACCATTCATATCTCTAAGTCTCAAGGGATTTAATGATCCATTGTGATCAAGTCACCATTTTAATAGAACAGAATGAGTCCACTCCATCAGAGATCTAAAAGAGAATGGTATTAACTGAATCAAGTTGGCTCATGTTGCATCATGATTTATGCATTGACATGCAACTTGGTTGAGTCAACCTCCCTTTTGGGTCTACCAATTAGAAAGTCAGATGTCCTAGGAGTATTTAATGAGTCTACTGAGCTTTTACATGAGTCAGAAAGGCAATGGCACAACAAAGGCACTCTTTCAGTAAAAGGGAAAAAACAGACCCAATTAACAACTTCAACAAAAGTAATGAACATGACTCATGAAACAAACTAAATGATACTCATCATTCATGTTTGATCTACTCAAGTCAAGTTAATACAGCTGTTATTCATGGTTCTGAACTCTCATTTACAACCTGAGTTGTCAAAATAGGGACAATGTAGCTGAATCAGTTCCAATGTGATAATTCAGATATTAATTGCTATAAATAGAAATGGCAATCCTTCATTGTCGTTTTCCAGGACATCACCTTTTTTTATTTAACATGGACCAAAGAAATTGGAGGGAACTTACGCACAAGAAGTTGGTGGGTTCCATACAATTCCTGCAATAACCACGAGCTGGGAGAGGACAAAAAAATGCATCAATTCCAACAAAAAGAGGATTTAGAGTATTCTCTTTTTTTCTCTTTCTGATAACTACAGATTGTTCACTTAACAAAACTACAATAAAAACAGTTAATATAGACGGTCAATGATCAATCAAATTCCTAGGGGAGCTACAAACAGCATATGGAACATCTAAAAGTACAAACTCCTCAACTGTTAAATGAAATAGAAAATTGAAAGATACGAAATATGGTTTTCAGCCAGTGATGTTATTTGATACTAACATGCATCCTCAAACAACTATTAGGTGTAAGCAATTTAACATTAACGTGTCTAACACTAACCTCATCAAAGATTCCAGCTGGACTGTCATCATAATGAGCAAGGAAAAAACCACCAAGAGTATATCTGAAAGACAAAAAGTCAGAATAACCATCACTGTGTATATGTTTTTATACATGAACATGGGGTGCATACAAAACACACACACACACACACAGATGTGTACCCAAAAGCTTCCACTAATCTAAAGTCTTTTGGAATGAAAGCTCGAGCAGTCTCTGCTTTCACAAGATGGAGTTGGTACAGGGCACTGAAAACCAGAAACAGATTATTTAATAAAATATTTGATTTCTGTAACAATGGAACTGGAAGAAAAGTTAAATAAAAAAGACCATGGATTCTCATTGAAAGACCAAAAGTTGCAGAACTCTACCTTCCTTTGAATAACCATGGTGGTTTCACATAACTTGAAGATGTTTTTGTATCTGGAACTTCCATGGATCTGATATTGGATTTTACAAGTTACTACCAAAAAAAAGAGGGAGCTGACACTCTAAAGTCCTATAACTCCATGATGGAGGAGACTAACCATAGGAAGCAACAGATGATCCTATTTAACTTCTGAAAAAAGCATATAATATTACAGTGTATGCCAAGGACCAAGAAGGATTATAGTCCATTCCTATAAATCTATGAACAGGATAATGAGATATCAGCAACATGTAGTGTAAAATTTTAAACATATTCAATCACCAGAAATGGTTCTTTATGGTTTACCCTAGAAATTTTTGAAACCTATGAAACACAAGTATGGCAATTTCTTCTCGCCACATTTTACCATGGAATGCATATAAGGTGTGGTCCCATGAGGTTATTTCCAAATAAGTAGGTCAATCTGCATTAATCATTATACCAACTTGATGCATCCAGGGACCTTCTGCTTGGTTTGTCTGCATAACTGCTTTAGTAACCACCATAATTCTGAAAAGGTAAAAGCCATAAAGACCCTTATAGAATATGAGCTAATGATAACAAGACTAGAGTGCTACAATTAGATTGGAAAGGAATTGAAGAAAGTAAATAATTTTGGCATAGAAAAATGCCAAAACTAATGGGATTGTTAAAACCGGGCATTGACCATAAATGATTAAATGGTTTAAAGTAAAGCTTAGCATGAAATTAAAAGAAACCAAAAACAAACTGCACAATCCATTAGCCATTGAAGTTATTTGTGCAATGGCAGGGATTCTTTATATTACATTGAAGCATCGCATATAGCTGATTTTATGATAATCATATATGAAGTTTCCTTAAGGTTGTGTGTGTTTCCCTGTAAAATAGGCGTAAAATTTTTCTGCCCCTTCTAATTTGGTTTGATGTACGTGACACGGAAAACAGAACTTTTGTTATAAAAGAGGCAAACGACTTATGTGAAACAAACGGAGCTAAGGGGGAGAAGACAAGGGCATCTTCAAACAACAAGTTATTTGAAAAAATAGGAGTTCTGTTATTCTGTTAAATCAGTTCTCCACTTCTCAACTAGATACGTCAAGAATTCAGAATTGTCCAAATGTTTCCATTTACCTCACCAAGAACCAAATCAAAAGCCTATCAGACTTCATATAATACTAATACTAAAGGAGACAGATATCACCAAAAAGGGAATCAACAAATGGCAAAAGCTGAAACTAACCAAACCAAATAATACACAACAAGAACATGAAAATAACAACTAGGGAGGCATAATGTATAGTGAGCCTGTCAAGAAGAAGGCGGGCTAGTTTCTTAACTGAAAAGTTGCAGCAATAAAAATGATCCAGGACAAAAAGAAGAATGCAAGAAACCAGAAATGGAAATAAAAAGATTTCGATCTGGAATTCGAAAACCGAAAACGTACCAGAAACTAAATCCAGTGGAGAGAGACAGACAGACAGACAGACAGACTCTGCCGCTAGCTCGCTGGCGTTCTCTGGTTGTGTGGATCTACGTTTGAATTCGAGTGTTTCAAGAGACAGGCGTCCACAAAGCTGACCAAGTGTAAAGAGTACTACAGATGATGAAAGGATGTTAGGCTTCTTAGTTCTTGCAGTGCTGTTATCCTTGAGCGTGAATTGGCGCCATACATAAACTCACACGCCGCGCTTCTTACTTCTTACTGCCCTTGTGGTCCTTGTGTTGTGGATACTGGATACAACGAGCGAAACTTTTCAGCTCTCAGCTCAGCAGTAAGTATGGGTTTGGTGGGACCCATCAAGAAAAGGTTTTGCATACTTGGCAACTCATTTAAGCAGTATGGGTTTGGTGGGACCGGACACGCTAGAATGACTAGCATAGCACCGCCATTTGGTAATAAACCATAACCCGTCACATGGAATAATAACTTTGATTGTTTTATCCTTTACCAAAAATTAAAAAAAAAAAAAAACTGTTACCCACCTACCACGTGTCTCTCTGACAATGATATAATATAATGGGCCTCTCCTGCGCTTTTATTAATTTATGCTTGTGATAAAATGGGCCTCTCATTGAACAACGTGTGTGGCATTCTTAGCCAATGATCAGGCTCAGGTTATTGAAGAAATTTGTAGGGAGAGGCTCCATGGTCCATGGATCATGGATGGCAATCCTTTGCATTTTATGTGCCAAAGCAAAGCAAAGATTTACATGAAAGAGAAAAGAACGTACGTGAGTTGGTCAATAATTCCTGTTTGTTTATTTGTTAGTGGTTGTTAGAGATTTGTTTCTTCTTCTTCTAATAATATAGTTCGACGCATACATTAGTTTACTCATCAATGGGCCGGGAATTGATCCATCATTAAAAGGTTAGGCAGATGTGAACTCAATTAGGCCCATATTTATTTTTTTGTCGTTACTTCATCTGAGCCCATGTTGTACAGATCTTCTTAAGGTGACCATCTCCTTCATATCTACCTTTACGCATATTAAAATGTTAAGACAAAGCATTTTAATGCGCGTGCATTGAACAGACTATGGCATACAATCAGGAAAAAATTATAAGGAAAATCAAATCAAAAGTTCAGTCTGGTCAAATGAAATTAATAAGCGCCCGCTTGATTTGGAATGGTATCGGAATGAGTCATTTTGATTCAAATTATTTGGTTGGGTGGAATCGGACTCTCATTTACATTCTTGATGGAATGGTATTTCTCCAATGATCATTCCCTCTTCTTCTTTTGGGAATGAAATCTCATTCTAGTTKATTCTAATTTTTATTTGATTTCTCTCTAAATCAAACAAATTATGAAAATAAATCATTCCCATTCCAATTCTGATTCAACTACAAACTGACCAAACCCTAAAGCTATGTTTGGTTTGAAGGAAAAAGTAGGGCAGGAAAGGAAAGTTAGGGAAACCTTCACAAATCTTGTATAGGTTTCTCTACCTTTCCTTTCCTTTCCCTACTTTTTCCTTCAAATCAAACATAACCTAAATATATAGCTAAAATCAAAGGGAAATATAGTAACATAAGCATCCACGGAACTAATCTCATTGCTCACATACATAAAGGCAGGAAGCTAGGAACTGCAGCCAACAATATATATAATATACTTAACAAACACGTCTGTGGCATGAATATAATACCCGGAAAGCTCATGAATGGTTCAGTTCCAAAATGTATCCCTTGCCTCTTGAATATCCATATCATTTGTGTAGCACACATTTCATATGAAAGATGATTTATTTTTCCCATATATTTACAAATTACAAGTGCACCATTCAAATCAATATATCAAAATTACATACTATAAATGTTATATCCAAAGTTTTAAAAACCCACCCAATACCAGAACTGTTTTGGCCACTGGTTTCTAGATCAACAGTTTGACTGCCCAGTTCGAATGGAGAGTCCGTTCTGACAAAAAAAATAAAATAAAAAATGGCTAAAATCGTTGAACGGGTCACTGGTTCGACCACYAAAGCCAATGAATCATTGACTAATTCAACATTTTTTTGGCTAAAAACCGAATTTAAAATAAAACGGAACCAATTGCCTGGGTGATTTTCGGGTCGAACGGTTCGACCTTCCAATAACAGTTCAAAAACATTGGTTATATCCATACTTGCTAAAATTGCCACTAGCTACAATTGAATGGAGAGTAATGTGTTTAACTGTCTGAATAAGTTTAAATTTTTTTCTATAACTCCGAGTAAGATGTATGCATTGAAATATTAAGATTAATAGAGCAAGGGATTTGATTTGGAGGAGGGAAAGATTTTACAAACCACCTATTCTCTCACATTTCYAAGACCCTAACTACGTACAACAGCTAATATACTAGAGCAGTATAACTTTTACAGTGGATATGCAGAGGTACAACTGGTTTTTTTTTTTTTCCATGAAGATTTTCTAAATGATAACCCCTAGAGGTAGGCTTCTAAAATTAGTTTATTGATTCGCTTTTGTTCACCCTAGCATGTCAACTGATAGGTGTAAGCAAGAACCTAAGACAGAGCAAATTTACAAGTCCTAATTCCGATGCAAATGCCATTTTCTTTAACTCATTTGCTATAGTGCAAGAGAAAAATGCAAATTCTGGTTCACTTTTACCTTCGGTTTCATACTACTTTGGGTTTTATTTTACTTGGTCTGTAATGCAAACAAACAAAATAAAAAGAAAAGTCTAAAGCAAAAATAAAACAGAATTTCTACTCCCATACTTTTTACTTTATGCATTAATGCAAATGAAATTGCACTACAAACAGACCGGGTCTTAAGAACAAAAAAACAAATGGAAGGGAAGAAATGAGAAGGGGAAAAAAAATTTGGGTCTCGCTCACTTTACTTGATTGCCTCCTTGTGGTCAAGAGGCTTATCTAAGATGGTGTCTGGTATGGCAAATTCTGGTTCACTTTGGGTCCAGGTTGCCAATTCATCGCCATGTGAGAGTTTGTCCCAATATGCTATGTAGTAGGCCTGTTTATCAAATAAATGTTTGTCTCGAACTCTTGATTTGTGTAAGACAACTGTTGGGGGAAACTTCATTTTAGTGTTTTCCCAATACCAAAGTGTTTATTTACTATTATATTTATATGGCGCCTAATGACATCTAATGGTGTCTAACGGTCAAAAAGCAATAGAAAAACATTTATCAACTGCTTTTTCTCAGTTTTGAAGATAAATCAAGTACAAACATTTTTCAAATTAACGGAAGCCAATACCAAACATCACCTAAGGCAGTGTTTAGCTATGTGGAAATTGGCATGGATGGCATAGTTAGAAAGGGACCACACCTTAGAAGTTGTTTGTTGGAGTTGTGGAACATTTCAGTCCACACTATATTGTGGACCAAAACTGAATATATTGAATTTTTCCGCCATTGATGTTTTTCATGGATTGGTTCACGCCATGGCATGGACGTGGATGGCTCATTTTTAATAATTTTTATTATTTTAAAATAACGTCAAAAGTTTAAAATTAATTTCAAGTGTAACATTTTTTTTTTAATTCTTAAGGTTATTACAAAAATAGTTGTACTAATTTCTTATTTGTTTTTTATTAAATTTTATCAATGTTAAAACAACTCTAAACCATCACTATAGTGTAGATGAATCCACATCACCCAAAATTTCATCCATCCTACATAACACCCCTAAAAGTGAGAAGGAATGAGAGCAATTTTCAAAATCTTCTCAAAAATAATGCAAAACAATCATTTGGTTGGCCTAAAAAAGTGTGAGACCTACAACAAGCTTTTTTTACTCCAAAAGTTTTCTATGCATTTAGATAAAACATTTGTAAGGGAAAATAACTTCTCATAAAAAAAATATTTTGGTTACATTTTCTAATGTTTGATTGGAACTTAAAAACAAGGGGATCATGGATTGAACTACTCCTAACTTCAAGGCTATGTTTTGGTTTGAAGGAAAAAGTAGGGAAAGGTAGGAAAACATATACAAGGTTTGTAATAGTTTCCCTACCTTTCCCTTCCTTTCCCTACTCTTTCATTCAATCCAAACACAGCCTTAGGATTACTTTAAGGCCGAAGTCTTATTGGATTAGTTATTCAAGGAAACATTTACATAGTAGAACTCTTAAAAATAGAGCCAAGAGTACTCTAAGTAAAATTACTCACAGGGGAAAGTCCTTTTAAAGCCATTCCCACCCTAGTTTTAGATAATATTTTGCTTATTTTAATATTTTACAAAGAACCAATCATTAAAAAGTAATATTTTTTGCAAAATACATATATCGTATCCAACCAAATACAACCAAAATAATAGTTAATATTGTTCCTTGTAAAACTATCTGAAAATGCAACAAAATTATGTGCAGGATGCAAATAGGTGGAAGCCCACTAACTGTCACACTTAAAAAATATTTATTTTTTCTTATCAATCAAATTTTGGTAAGAAAATAAATAAACATTTTATTCTCTTTTCTTTTCCTTTTTATTTTCTTGTAGTTTTTTTTCATTTTTTAATATATTATCTTTGCAACCAAACAGATCCTATGAGCCTGAAGATATAAAGACAAAGTGAAAAAAGGAACTCAACAAAATTCAAAATTTGGGTCCAGGGAAACACCCAAACCTATTATTGTGTTCTCATAAATTTTTTAATAGAAAACACTAAAAACACACGAATTACATATATGAAACAAGAAAAGGAACTTTTTGCAAACTTGGTTAAATTTATTGATGATAGACATGGGTTACTTCGCATGTAAAGGAAAAAAAGGAAAGATAAACATGGTATTTTGAAGGAAGATTTTTTTTTTTCTAATTGTTTGATCAGAATACTAAGACTTTATCTTATATAAATCATCTATCATTATCTACAGCTTTGGAGAATTCAGAACTACTCAATCAAATACTTCCTCTTACCTCATTGAAAAGTAGAGCTTCCCAAAAACTCAAATATAGCAAATAGTCCAAACGAGAGAAGAACAGCTGAGAAAAGATGAGTAACAACAAAGTCTACCAATAAAAGTATGTAACTCGTTCAATATAGCAATGAAGCAATCAAATTTGCGAAACCTAAAACAGAATATATAAAAGAGAACCAGAAGAAGAAGAACCCTAATATTTTTAATGGTAAATAAAAGAGAACAGAGGGTTGGGGAATAAATGAAGTATTAATGTAAATAGTACAAATAAAAAAACGGGACCGAAAAGCTAACCGAAATTGAAGCTCTTAGCAGGCACCAAAGATAAAAATCCAGAACAGAAGACATTGTTTCTGGGTCCGAAGAATATATGTGACTATGTGAGCTTGTTTGGTTGAGGTAAGTAGTGAGCCGGAGAGAGACTGGAGGATGTATGAGTGTGTGTGTGTGTGCATTTGAAAGAGGATGTACATACAGCGACAACGAAACGAAGGCTCAACTCAAAGCTTGATATGCCTAAGTACATTGTACTGGGGATTGCGTGGCATGAATTTATCCATAAACATGATTTGGCGCCAATGGAATATAATAACATTCACACGCCGCGGTTTTCGTTTGCTCTACTGTTGTTTTTCTCTGCTTTCTGGTTTCCCAATTCCAATGAGGAGTGACGATCCTCTCCGGTTAATTATTCTGCGATCCACATCCAGCCACGTTTCCAAACGTCTTCTGTTCTCTGTTCATCTCTGCTTTTATTTCTAGTTGCCAGTTGCCACTTCATTTTCATTCGCCAACAGGTTAGTGGTAGTGTAACGTTACGTCAGGAGGGAATTGGTGAAACCAAACATTTTTCATTCCACTTTTGCTCTGCGGTTGGCTTTTACCCTGTTTTGGCTCCAACATTGGATACAAATTTGTGCTCTTGTGATAATTGATATCAGTCCGGATTTCCTACTAATTTCTCTCTGCTCCCCTTTCTATTAACCCAATAAAATGATTCTAGCTGTTTTTAATCATGTTAGAGGAGTCCAACTGTAGTGTAATAACTAACCAAGAGCTTAACCCCTCTGTTAAATACTCTTTTTAAAATATATCGATTCTTTAAACATTAATTAAACCTTTTTTAAAAAATAGATATTTCATTTAAGCCTAAATTCTTCTTCCCCCTATCAATATTTGAATCTTCTATCTCAATTGTTTGCCTTGCCTCTAGAAACTATTTGCTTGGACTGAAGGTTTTCTATTTTATCACAACTAATTCAAAATTTTCCCACAATCCAAAAACCTTCTTAATATTGTTCATAAAAACATAAAAGTTGTACTCCTCCCAACATCTTCAACGACAGCAACAAGAAAAAAAAATCCAATGTATAAGAGGAAATTGAATGTGTACAAGTGTCCTTTGCAAAAGAACTCAGTTTGATCTTTATTTGTTTTAAACCCACAACTTGAAAGCTAACCTAATTAACAATTATTTATTGATTCTTGGAGAAATCGAAAACAAGCTTTCATTGAACAGAACAGTGATAGAGTTTCAATGAACATTATAAGTGGAAAAGAGAGAATGGGGAATTCGTGTATAATTAAAATAGATATTTTTATTTTTATTTCTTTATTAAGCCTAATAAGGCAAATTCATGCATGGCAAAAGAGTTATATATCACCGAWTTTTTTTTTATAAATTTTTCGAAATATCTAATTAATGCATAAAAAATAGGTATTTATTTAAAAGAATATCTAATGGAGGGATTAAGGTGCTGGTCAATCGTTACACCAGGTGGGACTTAGGGACAGCTGGAATCATTTTATTGGGTTAGAGGGAACATAACTCATGTAGGATTGGTAGTTAATTGAGGAACCATGTAATTGGTCGGATTTAGAAATTTATACACATATAAGATATAACCACACAGGCCCATCCATATCTTAGGTTAAAAGCTTATACGGCCAGGGAAGGACCCTGAATAGGTTTTTATTCTTTCGGGTCTGTTTGTTTTGCAGGCGGAATAAGAAAGGAATAGGAATCGAAATTAAAATGATCTATTCCCATAATCTGTTTGGTTAAAACAAGAACGAATAAAAATAATYTGTTTGGTTCAAACAAGAATGAGATCTTATTCCCAAAAGAGGGGCAGGGAATGTCATTCTAACAAAAATAGAAAAGAAATTCTCATTCCATCCAATCAAATAGTTGGAATGGGAATAACCCATTCTGAATCCGATTCCAAACCTCTATTTTCGCAAACCAATCGTGACGTTGCGTGGAAGCAATGAGAACCGGAGCTGGCTATGCAAGCACCAAGCATTCGCTAGCACCTAGCGAATAACACGATTTCTCTAGGAGAGAGAAAAGGTGGCGAAAATAGGAAGAAGAGAACTTGAAGAAATTCTGAAATCTGAAGTATGAAATTGATGAATAACTTTGGGAAAATAGCAGTATTTATAATACATCTGGGAATTGTAAAAGAACTAGGAAAAAACATGAATCTTGATCTTGACCTTGATCTTCTTGGGCTGTCTTGATAAGGTCAAACCCTCTTGGAATTCTTGGGCTTGATCTTCCACCGTCCGATCTCCCTTGATCTTCTCCATGCATGAATCTTGGATTATCTAGAATTCTTGAATTATTGAATTTTGATAATTCTTGAATTCTTGAATTATCTTGGGGTAATCTTGAATTCTTGAATTATCTTGGAAGAGTTTTGATAAGCTTGGATTCTTGATAAGTCTTGAAGTCTTGGAAGAGTCTTGATGGATCTTGAGTTATCCTTCCTTGGCTTATCTTGGACTCTTGGCCTTATCCTAAGAGCTGCCGCCCCTAGGAGGGAGATGGGCCTTGGGGTGGGCCTCCATCAAATCGGGTCTTAATTCAGAATGCATAAGCCATTTCATGCCTATTACCTAATTATGTACTGGCAGACTTTTCTCTACTGAAAATTTGAAATCATCCAATATCTGAGCAGGAGTAAATCCAAAATAAACCCAGAAGCTAAGCTACATAAGTTCCTTACATAAACACAAAGCATACACATACAATATTTAGATCACCTCCATTTCACTGTCAAAGTGAATTATTTATGAAGAAGACAATTAAAGTAGCTAGAACTAGTTAACATCCTTCTTCACACAAAACTAAAACTCTATTTTAAGCATACTGCTGGGAAGGAAGATAGATCCGTGCAGCACTAGCACTTTCAACGAAGGGAGGAAACAGGACGGTGGAAGGACAATTGGTGGTAGGTGAAACTGGGCACTCAATGAAGTCAGATCCAGAAGTGTCTGTGCACATGTAAATTTCATACATCTGATAGTAACCGGACGTGTTGACATTGCAGATGATTGTAGGAGTGTATCCAGTTGCTTCTTCAATAGCTGTCGTGATTGCGTCCAAGCTGTAGAAGTCACCATTGGGTTTGATTCCTGCAACGACAAGATCAAGATAAAACGGAAAAACAAGAAATTAAAGCTCAAGTTTGTGCAGTGGAGTAGTGTTTAAATTGATTTTAATTTAAATTAGTTTCAACTCAAACCTAGTCCATTAATACCCGTATTAATGGACCAGATATCAATTTAATCCGACCCAATCGAATATAAATTCATTAGAGATGGATCAAATTCAATCCAATCCAATAAATACTTTGGACCCATGACCCTGGTCCAATTCAATATAATCTATCCAATCCGTCCAAAAGTGATTTTGATTTGAATAAGGTCCAACCCAAAACCAAGCCATTGACACCCTACAAACAGTTCAATTTTAAGCTAATAATCATCAATTCAAACTTCAAATTACCGGCATCCTCAAGGACTTGGAGCATATCCACTTTGTCCCTTAAGTCGAGGTTCGCTTCGAAGTATCCGTGTTGATTCAATACAAGCTCTGTGCAGGTCCCAAATTTCAACCAAATGTATTCCCAATATGACTGACCATTACTGGGCAGGAAAACGTTGTCCAACTAGTTTCCAATCTGCTAATAAGGTCTGATACCTACACCGGAAAAAAAAGGGAATTGGATCAGAAATTGATTAAGCCTGCGTTTATTTATGGAAAACAATATAAATTTTATGCTATGAGAATGAATTATGACCAACAATCCCTTTGTAAACTGTAGGGCTAAGATTTTTGGGGTAGACTGAACAGTAAAACCCTTTTTTTTTATTTTTGAAGAAAAAGATCATGGTTTTTAAAAATGAACCGGTCAGGGGTCTGGTTATCAGTTTGAACAGTTTAACCGGTTCGAATGATTAATCGGCCAGTTCAGTGGTTTGTTGACCAAAATCAATGATTTTAAGGGAAAAAACGGTTTTGGAGAAAAACGAAACTGATCAGATAACCGATTCCTGATTTTTACGATCCGGTCCGGTCCGGTTTTAAAAACAGTGAAAAAAATAATAAGGCAGTTTACCTTATAACCCAATTTTTTGTGGAGGTAATTGCATAAAAAGGAGTTATATTTATTCCTATTAATATTTCCGAACTTTTCGAATATGTTAGATGTACCTTCAAGTTTCTTCCGGGGCAATGGTGCATCTCATGTTGCTGAAAAGGGTACGAGTCTAATGGGATTTGGTTTAGCTTAGGGATACAACCCTACAGGTGCAAGCTTCGGACTTAGGCTGGCCCAATCCGAGGACAACTTCAAGTTTACCAATCGATGCTCAACACGAGCATAATGCAATATAATTTCAGCTGGATTTGGGCTTGGGTTGGACCAGGCTAAGTTTAAACGAGCTTGAACAGACTTCTGTTGAGTTCGATCTATCTAACGCCTCAACCCAAGCCCGACCTAAGTTTTGCTTAGGCCTAAATTTTTTACTTTCTAGCTCAGGCTCAAACCATGTAAAAACTTAATTGGGTTTTGAGTCGGAACAGCCCTAATTGAACCCTTAGTTTAGCTAAACTCCGATTTTGTTGAGTAATTTTCTTGATTAAGACGAGTCTGAATCTGCTACATGCAACACCTTATGCAAACATTATACATAGGTGACTACAGCCACAGATCAGGAACATCCTTCCATGAATGACAACCTACAAGCATCGCAAGGCTGTAGTGTCCTGTACATAATGTGTTCAAGGATTTTACGTGGATGCCATGCCATGTTTGGGCTGCATGCTAATCCACAGGCTTTAAAGCCCAAGCTCAACATCACACAGGGGATAGGGTTTGGACCATGCCTGGTGGCCGGTAAGATCCACTTTACAGTTACGTGGTTTTAAAGAATGATCCAGAAATGGAATCGTTCTGGCCATTGGTCTTGGGTTGATGGYTTGACCATCCGGTTTGAACGGATGACCTGTTTTAATAATAAAAAATAAAAAATGGCCAAAACCAATAAATGGGTCAACGGGTTAATTGTTTGACCGTCTGAGCCAATGGGTCATTGACCAATTCAATGGTTTTTGGCCAAGGATTGGACTTGGGGTAAAACGGAACCGGTTGCCTGGACGGTTCCCAGGCCAAACGGTCCGACTGTCCGGGTCAATGGCGGTTCGAAAACCATGTACAACTCTACCTAGGGGATGGCCAAAGCAGAGAGAGAAGACATTCTGGATCAGATAAGCACGTTCAATGACCATTTAGAAAAATTTTTGATGCCCATCCCTTAAAATACTCCCAAATCCCAACCTATCATTGAAAAAGATTAAAAACTGCTTTTGACAAATGACAATAATTAAAAATAAAAAATGGCTAAAACCGTTAAATGGGTCAACGGATTAATGGTTTGACCGTCTAGGTCAATAGGTCATTGACCAATCCAACAGTTTTTGGCCAGGGACCGGACTTGGGGTAAAATGAAACCGATTACATAAACGATTCACAGGCCAAACGGTCCGACCATCCAGATCAACGGTGGTTCAAAAACCATATACAACTCTACCTAGCGGATGGCCAAAGCGCGGAGAGAGAAGACAGTCTGGATCAGATAATCACCTTCAATGAATAATTAGAAAAATTTTTTGATACCCATCCCTTAAAATGCTCCCAAATCCCAATCTATCTTGAAAAAGATTAAAAACCACTTTTTAAAAATGACAAATGACAGTCTGGTCCGAGAGAAGATGACAACACCCATGGCGCCTGTTACCAAAGTGGAATGTCCGAGATTTTCAATCCTGGCTTCCAATCGATGGTTTGGTAGAGGCTGGTGACAAGCTTTTTGGCAGAGCTCCGGCCACCAGAGGCAACGGAGGTACACAAGAAAACGTATTCATCTATTATCATAACATGGAAATATCCCATATAATATTTTATGGGCACTAACATAGAGGTGTAAATCGGGTTGTATTGGTGTATCACCTATGGCCCGGTATGACCCAGCATGAATTTGGACCGGCCTGACACGATGGTCCATGGGCCGTGTCAGGCCCGACACAATTGTGAGGGTTGTGTTGGGTGCGAGGTTTTAGATCCACGGGCTGAGCTAACACGGCACGATCGATAACTTTGGTCTGATTCATGATCCGACTTGGCCCATAGACCAGCCTGCCTCACGACACGAGCTTGAACCGTGGGCTGTGCCGAACTTACCCCAATTATCTCAGGGGAGAGCGACATGGCTGAGGATGACCTGTTTTACACCTCCACACCAATGGTTTCCACCAATGAGAGAACGATCCGAGCAAAAGGGGTCGTATCAGCCAGTCATAGGCTCATAGCCACCCACACCAATCTTGGCCAACCAAAACGTCATTCTTCATGGGAGCATAAAGATATATCCTTTCTGCTATTCCTGTGTTGTTGTGCTCGAAGAAACATTAACATACAATTTCTTGTGTCTCAAAATTGAAATCCATTTGAGAATCAATTTTAGGAAATACAATAACCATAAACCGAAGCAAATAAACTTTGATACTTTCTGCTTCAAAAAAACCGAAGCAGGGAAAGAAAACAGTAAAACACTAATAAAAAAAGTGTTGATTCGAAGATCGTTTTAAGTTGAAGTCATTTGCTAAGGCTCGGTTTAGGAGTACAAATGTAAATATATACAATATAAATACAAACAAAATGTTATTTCGAACATATTAAAAAAGGGAAAGCAAAAGGTTGAAAATTTACACATTGTATATATTGGTGATTGGCTGACTGCTAATGGAGGGAGAGAGACTCAGGGAAGCCTCGGAAGAAGATAAAAGGTGGGGTGCACGGATGAAACAGCGGGACTGCGGGACCACGGGGATTTTGCCTTTTTTCTTTTAAAAAAAAAGGAAATGGCTTTTCACGCTTAATTACAAAGTTGTCTGTATATTGCTTGTGACGTGTCAATCATTCGTTTGACGGAAAATTCCTCCGACTGCCGCCGGTTGGAGAAAAATCAGATCCCGACTTGCCAAGGAGCCTCCCGCTCCCGAAAACACCCCAAATGTTGGGAAAGAAAGAAGAGAAATAGACGGTGGCTCAATATAATAAGTTTTCTGGCTGTTTGTAGCAGAGAGACTTTGGATGCAATCAAGCTGTTAACCAGGGTAGGGGGTTCTAAAGCCAAAAGTTTCAATTGAAAAGAAAAAAAGAAACTTCGATTTTCGAGCTTCAGGCAAAGCGTATGCTTCCTATAATTTGGTCGATCGCCTGGTATAAAGAAAGATAAATTAAGAGGAGTAGGTACCTGGGATGAATTGAAAGTGTTGCTTGAATCACAGTATGAGATGGATGACCCGTTCTTATAACGTGGAAATAGCCCATGAATGCTAAAATTTGCCGCAGGCATTCCTGTGCTTGGCGTGCAGCATGTTATCGATGTTTCACAGTATGAGCCTTGCCACTGAAACAAAAATGAGAAAACCAATAATAGACAACGTAGCTCTACTCTTTATACCAAGACCAAGATGAAAGTAGAAGAGAGACAGACTGAAACAAATATTATTAATTAAACCACAGAGAGAGAGAGAGCAATAGTCACCAGCTGAGCAAAGATTTGGTAATCAAAAGCTCGTGAAACACCTAGAGCTGCTAATATTACAAGAGTTTTAATGAGGAATGAAGAAGGGGGTTTCATGGTTGTTTGGCTGCTTGATTATTCCACACTGAACACACACTCAGTTTAGTGATGTTGAATGGTATCTGCGTCTCCATATATTACATATTTATAGGCAAATAAACAATATGCATGGTTAATTATTTATTAATATATAAAGCAGATGTTATCATGTATTATACGGAGTAATTATTTCAATGAAAATTTAGGATTTATTGATTTATTCTCCTCTCAAATTATTATTTACTTTTGGAAGAATGACTGTACAGAATTTATAAGGACTATAATTTCAGAATTCCGCGTGGACTGCAGTGTACTTTTTCATTAATCAAAAGCATGTACCAAAAGATGACAATTGACCATTCATGCCAGTTTTGTAGCATCATAGCGACTGTGCGGGGCCAAAGCATTGAAAATCGTGCAAGAAAATATATTGCAAAATTGACATATGTAACTGTAGGCAGGGACCAAAATAGAAATCGTAAAATTGACATACTGATTTGTAGCATCAACAAGGGTAAAGTCTAGACATGGAGTTGCATGTTGCTTAATTTCATCTTGGAATGAGGATATTAAGGTAGAGGAGGCTGTTCCTATTTGCGTGCTTGTATATATCTTAGAAAACTATACTTTATGAGATAAAAAATTATTTATACATGCCTGCCCTGCAAAACATAAACACCCATTTATTAATGAACACTTAAGAGCCATTAATAGTAAAGCTTAGATTTTTTTAATCCCTATTTACACCATTGAAACTGTTAACGTGTAGTGTTTCTTGTCTTCTGGAAAAACCCAACCAACACCCCGCTCCTTGTACCCATCAAGGCAAATTCTCCTTTTCTCTCTATTCTTTTATCCACATTCAGGGGTTCAATCATGGTTTTCAAAACCAGACCAGGTGATTGATTTTGTTTTATCTTGTAACCGTTATTTCATCAAAAACCATTGATTTGGTTAGTAAATCGTTGATTCGGGCGATTGAATCGTTCAAACTGTTCAATAATTTGTCCATTTTTTTACTTTTTTTTTGTTGAAACGGACTTTTCATTCGGTTCAAACGGTCGGACTGTTCGATTCGGAATCAGACCCCTGATCGGTTCGTTGTCTGGTTTGGTTTTAAAAACCTTGGGTTCAATGGTATTTGGAAATTTGATTTTAAATTCAAGATTCGACATAATCAAATCGAATTCRGATATAACCTTATTTGATTCAATAATTATTCGAATTCGACTAATTATTTAATTTTTATATAAAATATTTAAATATTCTATATAATAATTAAATTATATAAATAATTCATATATTTATATACTTTATATAACTAAAACATTTATTTTATATTCATTAATTACCTAAAATAATTAATTGGTCAAATTGAAATCAAATCGAATATTTAATTGACTTTGAATATTAATTTTCAATAATATCTATTAGATATCAAATTAAATTTAAATATCGAATTTTCTAATCAAATCGAATTCGAATATTACCTCATTTTATTCGAATTTGATCCATTTACACCCTTATCCTCCTCTCTTTTTTTTTTTCTCGAAATCGAAAAAACAACCAGTCCAAAGCCGTATTCTAACCTAGCCTACTTATCTTTCTTTTTTTTTTTTCGGGGATAAATAAACTGCACTCCACCTCAGAGTGAATGATAAAGGGTTTAAAACACGTGCACATTGTGTGTTTTATTTTGTCGTATTGTCATTGTCCGATATTATTCATTTATTTGCCGCCAAACCTCCCACTACCACTAAACGTGTTCTTTCAGATATTATTCAGCGAAATTGGAAATAAAAAATGACAAATCATATTCATCAAGATTTATGTTGTATTCTGATTGGTCAAAGTTGTTATGGTGTCATTTAATTTTCCTGCGTCACTGAAATGGCTATCACAAAAGCAACGATGCCTTTCCTTCTTTTCGATTTTAAAATTAATCGATACTTGGACCAAATGAGATCATCAAAATAATAAGGCCCTGTTGGTTTGCTTTTAATGTCTCTTGTCTCTTTCCTCTTAACACCTTTAAGAGTCATTAAGACTGTTTGTTTCTCATTTTATACACTTTTAATGTACATCAGATCATGTACAATATCAATAATGTTCAATTTACCTTTTATGTATTATTATTATTATTTGTAATAATTATTTAGTATTTATTCAATTATTTAGTAATTGATTGTTGTTAATAATTATTAACTATTACTAATTATTGTATCATTTACTTAATTAATAAATATGCAATTATTTTTTTTAATATTAATTAATTAGTGTTCATTTTCTTTAAAATATTTAATCATTTATATTTTTATTAATTACACTATTTACTAATTATTTTATATTCATTTAGTTAATTGTTAATAATTAATTATTAAGTAGTTAAACAAACTATCTCATTTCTAGGGTTAAAATTAGGGGTGAGCATTATTCGGCTAAAACCGAAATACCAGATTGAAAATTTTGGTTTTGATTTTTTTGGTTTGCCTCTTTTCAGTTTTTGCGTAATTTGGTTCAGTTAGTTCAGTTTTTAGGAATTCCAATTTTTGGTTTCGGTTTTCAGAGTTAGAAATTCGATTAACGGAAAAATCGAATTAATTGAAAATTACTTTATAATATGTAATACATAATATACAATATATAATATGCTATATATATATTAATATATTATATATAATGTGTTATAATGAAATTCAATTTCATAATATATACTATAGGTTATAATATATAATATTATATATATTAACTAAATTCGGTTTTTAACCGAAAACCGAATAAAAAATTATAGTTTCGATTATTTTGGGTTTCTTATAATTCGGTTTTGGTTCGATTTTTAAAATTTCTATTTAGTCAATTCAGTTTTCAACCGTATGCTCACCCTTAATTAAAATAATCAATTGTCATTTTTCAAATTTCAAAATATTCAGAATTAATAAAAATCTACAAACTTCATTACAGTCCAAAAAGTAATTATTAATTTATTACAGCTCCAAAAGCATTCAGATGGTAGACTTCAATGCAAAGAACAAACCCTAAGAATAGAATAGAGTACCTTCTTTTTCTATCCAGTTGTTCTCTCAGCCACGAAATGCCACCTGTTTTGCAACCCATCACATAAGTGAACACATGACAAGGAGATGGACACATCTGTATGCACTTGGAGGGAGACACATTTAACACCCCCTTCCCGGGACAAAAGCCAGGGCTGGGAGCACGTCATCATTACAAGCAAAGAAGAGAGGGCTACCACAACATGGGCTACACTGTTTGCCATTTTGGCCACAACTAATCTTCGCATAACACTTCAGATTTTGTTTTCCTAATCTTATCAAAGAATCCTTTTCCGCTTCGGCTATAGCACGAGTGTTTTACATTGGAATTTGGATCTACTACTACCACTCCATCTATTTCTATATGGATTGTAAATAAAAAAATTAACCCAACCAAGAAAATTGAACCGAAAAATCCAATTAATCCGAACCGATCAATTTGTTTTCTATTTGATATTTTTGAAAAACTGAGGGATAATTTGATTTTTTGGTTAATGTAAAAAAACAATAACTAACTGAACTGATTGGTCTATATATCATATTTATAATTATCTATTCATAATATATTATAAATACAAAAAACTGGCCCTATTTGATTCACAGGAATAGGGGTCTGGAATCGGAACGGGTTATTCCGATTCCAATTGTTTGGTTGGACGGAATTGAAATCTCATTTCCATTCCTGCTAGAATGGTATTTCCTCATTTGAGAAAATGGCCACTCCCTGCCCCTCCATTAAGAATGTAATCTCATTCCTACTGATTTTAATTTTTATTTCCATTCCTATCTAAACTAAACAGATTATAGAAATAGGCCATTTCAATTTCAATTCTGATTCCGATTCCGACTATAAACCAAACAATATCTAAAAAGACCAAAATGATCAAAAACCGAAACTTGTTTCAATACCGATTCGGTTTCAAGATAATCAACAATTCGGTTACAAATTTACCATGAACACCCCTAATTAATAGATATAAAGATCTTTCCACTTTTTTATTCGGCGGTGTTTTGTTTCCATCTCCCAGAACCAACATTCCACCACTGATTTATGATCAAATTATATATTATTTCATATATAACACATGTGAAAATGAAATATACTACCTACTGCATTGCATCTGGGTTTGAGGAAATAATTTAATCATGACTTTTCTCTGTTTTATTTTTATTTTTACATTTACCAGTTAGCTACAAACCAGTGAAAGCTGTATGGGCCCTCTTTCTTTCAATAATTGCGTTGTTGGTACTTGTAAGGTGCGTTTTTACCCACGTGCCGAAAGGGGTTTGTAAAGTTATATATACGAGGGAAATAAAATTTAACATTATTTTTTTTATTTTTTTTATAGAATTTATAAGAATGTCATTCTCTATCAACTCTCTCTTTTGTTTTTTTTCTTTTAAATTATAAGAATGGCACTATCTTCTACAAAAACTCTCTTTCTCTCTTCCTTGTTTTTTTTTTCTTTCAAATTATAAGAATACCACACTTTTTTTTTCAAATTACAATAATGTCATCTCTCTCCTTATAAATTACAAGAATGTCACTCTCTCTCCAACTAAGAGAGACTTCAACTCAGCACCTCAACTATTAGGGGACCTACAACCAAAGGTAGTCGAATTCGAGCTCAAGCTCAAGTCTTTAATTCGAATCAAGCTCGAGCTAGACGACTCCTCAACCACTGAGGGAGACCTCGGCTTAGCACCTCGGTCACTAAGGGAGATCTCGGCTCAGTACCTCGACAACTAAGGGAGACCTTAGCTCGACACCTTGTCAACTAAGGGAGACCTTAGCTCGACACCTCACCTGCTAAGAAAACCTCAACTCGACACTTCAGCAGCTGAGAGACCTACAATTAAAGGTAGCCGAGTTCGAACTTTCGAGCTTTTGACTCGAATTGAGCTTGAGCTCGAGCTCAAGTCTCTAATTCGAATCAAGCTCAAGCTTGATAGTTTATGAGCGAGCCCCTACAATGCCGGGCCCCAAGCTGAAATGTGTTCGCAAAAAGGCCT